GTTAGTCCTGACTCTGAGCTTGGGAAACCAGGTGGTGCCAGGGATCCAACAGGGAGATCCTATCTTTAAGCCACTGCCAACATTGAATTGTCTCTATGACCCTTTATTTCTAATTCTTTCCAGAAAAATAATCAAATGGAACTGTATTTTTATGCCTTTGAAAGAGACTAATTTTAATAGTTTTGAGCAGTTTTGATAGGCACATGGTTGGACTATTTGTATATAATAAATGTACTCATGTAGAATATATGTAATTATTCTTTCATTTATCCAATATTAATTAGTTGAGCTTATTTTGAGTCTACGCTACAAAAAGTGATGAGCTGCAATAGTGACTAAGCAATAATCTTTTCCAGACAGAGTTTACTTTCTTCTGACTATAAAGCAAAAATCTTTAGTAAGACAAATATTCAGTGAGTATAATAGAAAAAGCAAAGCCACTGTGCTAATAGGTCCGCATGTGGTCTTGGAATCTAGAAACATTGCAAATTTTCATTTTCTTGGGCTATATGAAACTTAAAAATATAAGTTTTTGTAGAGGATGTTTTAACTTAAGCTATCCTTTGCCTTCTGATCTTGTTCTTTTATGTTCTGCTGGTTTTAGATCATTAATGTCAATGCTACAAGAAATTACAGTATCAGTTACCAGGACATTATAGACAAAACTCTATGGATCAGCTAGTTGAAGAAAAGAAGGAAGTAAACAAAATGTTTTAATTTTCACTCATCACGTGGAATTACACTCATTACATGGAATTCATTCCCTTGAAACCAAGAGGGCCGAGAGATATGATTAACTAAGTCTGCCCTCTGCTGACAAAAACATATTGCTGAAAAGTCCCTAGATTTGTGCAGGTTCAATCCTCTGCAATGCATGAACCCCAAACACTGCGGGAATCTCCAAACACACAGCCAGGATTAAACCCTCAGCACCGAGTGTGGCCTTAAAGCAAACAAAAACACAAGCAGAGATACACAGACTTTAATCATCTTAGTAATAATAACTTCGTTGTTCTAATTTCATTTTTTTCAAACACATATCCAGTACCTAGGTGTCAGTGCTGGAAATGTCGCTGACAAACAAGCAATGTAGTTTGAATGGAATGAATGGATGTTTAAGAGGGAAGGTTAGAGACAAAAGCAAACAAATAAAAGCTATGAAAATATCACCTAGTAAACTTTCATTCATCACAAATGATGACACGATGTTCCCTCAGGAAAACAATTTTCTTAAATTCCATTCCCAAGAGATAAAGGGCATGGTAATTAATTTCATTTTATGACGGCCCCAGTCACAGTCTTCCAAAGAGAAAGTCAGATGAACTGCTCTCCTGGCTTTGAAGAGTGTTCTTTGCATTTGACTACAATATTCCTTACTCAGAGAAGTGTTTAGGGGGTTAAACTGAGTCACCTTCAGCTAAAATTCTGATTACCATTGGCACTTTTGCAAGGCTGATGGCCAGGATTTAGATTTAAGGTAAGGGTCATTTTCTGTAGCCAGTGGGTTTTGAGATTTTTTTTTTTTTATGTGATGAGCTGCTCAGGGTGGAAGAGCTGGTGGTAGATGCCAGTGCAAATTTCATCAATGACTGTGGACTCCAAGTCTACAAACACTGCCTGGGCATATGCTTGCCAGTGTCCCGTTTCACTGAAGAAGGTGTTGAAAGAGTCTTCTCCTCCCCCAATGATCTTGTCACTGGGCATCTGGCCATTAGGCTGGATGCCGTGTTCCAGGCAGTAGAGCTCCCAGAAGGCATTGCCAGTCTGGACACCTGCCTGGACAACGTGGATGGAGATGCACTCACGCATTATAAGGACTTGCTGGGTTCAGGGACAGGAGAAAGCGAAGGATCAGAGTTGAGGCTTTCCCACGAGCAGACTACCAAGGAGTCAGGGGGAGAAGCAGACTCTGGGCTAGACTGTTTTCACTTGGGGTGCCCCAGAGTGGTGTGGGTGAAAGCCCTCCATGCCCCAAGGGACCCAGCCCTGGCAGCTGACGTCCACTACCCAACCGCCTCCACACTCTAGGCCATTTTGGCCATTTTCTGGACCGTATCGCTGCTTTGCGGCCGCATGACATGTTAAACACTTCCTACTCATTTTCCATAATTACCACAACATATTTGATGGGGTTCAGACAGTAGGTGACAAAACCATACAGAGAAATATATATACATATTTATAAATATATATATATATATACATATATATATATATATATATATATATATATATATATATATACCTCTTGGAGAGCCCGGCAAGCTACCAAGAGTATCCTGCCTGCACAGACAGAGCCTGGCAAGCTCTCCATGGCATATTCGATATGCCAAAAACAGTAACAATAACAGATTTCGTTCCCCGACCCTGAAAGAGCCTCCCATCATTGGGAAAGATGAGTAAGGAGAGGCTGCTAAAATCTCAGGCTGGGAGGAATAGAGACGTTACTGGTGCCTGCTCAAGTAAATCGAGAAACAGAACAACGGGATGACACTGATACAGTGATACAGTGAACCTTATGTTTAGAAAGCATGGACAATGGGATAAAGTGCTTGAGATATACTCATGGACTTCTCCCAAGGGTGTGGAATTTAAATTAAAGGTTTAGAGAAGAAAACAGCCTCTGTATTCTACCCCTGAGGATCAGCTAATGCAGAATAAGAGGAAGAATTACCACAAAAGTTCTAAGACATGGGCACACTTGATTCAGAAGGATTTTGAGTAGGCATTTGAGTGAGGGGAAGGAAGTTCATATTGAGACAAGAGCTCTAGATAGTCTCCAAGTGAAAGGATTTTTGTATACCAGGGATATAGCCCAAGTGGGGAAGTACATACTTTCAATGTGTCAGTTTTTAGTTCCTTGCTGTGTACACCCTCCCTCCCCCACCAGAGCACTTCCCTCACAACGATGAAGAGAGTGAGATTTGTAGAATTTTATTCAGTGCAACAAAGAAAGTTACTGAAAGTTTTAAAATTAACAAGTAACAAAGTCTAATGTGCATTTTTTTTTAAAAAAAGGAGAGCAATTGATATAGATTTCATTCTAAATATAATCAGTTAGACTTTTTGATAAGTAGGCTTTTTAACTTTGTATTTTATTTTATTTGGGCTAGAGTGATAGGACAGCGGTAGGGCGTTTGCCTTGCACGCAGCCAACTTGGCTGACCCGAGTTCGATTCCTCCACCCCTCTCAGAGAGCCCGGCAAGCTACGGAGAGTATCTCGCCCACACGGCAGAGCCTGGCAAGCTACCCATGACGTATTCGATATGCCAAACACAATAACAATAAAGTCTCCAATGGAGACGTTACTGGGACCGCTCGAGCAAATTGATGAACAACGGGAGGACTGTGACTGTGATTTTATTTTATTTATTTTAATATTTTGGCTAACAATACTATTAACATTGGTTTCTTATGAACATAATTCCTATACCACAGCTATCACCCCAAATAGAAAAAAACTCCCATATGATACAGCAATGCTACTTCTTGGCATTTATCCCCAAAACACCACTGCATGCTTTTGGTGAAAGAGAGGATTACTGAGAAAAATATTTACATTAAAATATGCCAGTGTTAACACTATGATTTTAACTTATTTCCTCACTTAATTTGTTTTCCTTTGGGGCTGTATGAGGGTCCCAAAGATGAATTCTAGGGTCTCACGTAAACACGGCATCTGTTGTACCACAGAGCTATATTCCAGACTCCTTCCTTATTAGATATTAAGTTTCAGAGAAGAGCTACTATATCTTCTATCCCTGTAAAATTTGTATCACTATCCTTCCCCATTTTTAATAAATCTAAGCCAAATCTTTGTGCCTAGATATGCTACAGGGAGGATTTTGCTAAAGAAGAAATGGATTTTTGTTAACCTCACTATTTTAGAACATACCTTAATTTCCAATGACATGAAACTCACTCTCCTATCAAGGTCAAGACATCAAAGTTTGAAGATTTTGCTCTCTCTGCTTCATCTAATCACAGCAATAGATGCTTCTGGATTTGGGGGAAAGGTGTCTTTCCTGATAGATATCACAGGTCATTCAGATCAACAAATGACTTTCCTGGGTGAGGGATACACTCTTCACTCAGCAAAACCACTGCTCTTACAGAGGGCAGACTTGCAGGGAAGGGCAAGGGAAGAATGCAGGCTTTAGCCTCCTTATTACTTAACTGTGGGAAAATTGAGACAGCATTAAGTCCATCCTTGAGAAATTGATGATGATGTATCTTTATGGTTTATTTTTTGAGAACCAAAACTAAATTGAAAAAAAAAATACAAACCTCACTAACCTTACCAGAGGGACCTTTCACAATGGGTCCCTAAAAAAAAAACAACAACAACAAAAAACCCCAGCAAAGTAATTTGTTTTTCCTCATACTGATGCAGAATTTATTTCTTAGAAGTGGGTGACGTCATGTTTTCTTTTTCTCTTTTCTCTTTTGGTAGCATTTTGGGTCACACCCGGTGATGCTCAGGGCTTACTCCTGGCTCTGCACTCAGAAATATTACTCCTAGCCGTGTTCGGGGGACCATACGGGATATCGGGGATCGAACCCAGGTCAGCCGCGTGCAAAACAACCGCCCTGCCCACTCTTATATAATTCCGGCCCATGTCATGTTTTCTCTAATGATGTGAACCTGTTAGGCATTTTGGAGACATTTCCTAATTTCAGTTTAGACTCTTCAAATGATTATTTTATAAGTGATTGATACACAGACGATTATGCAGACAATTGGTTAAGTATGTGATAATGCATCAATCATGCAAAGTAGGAATGGGTGCTGGATGGGAAAGGGTGGGGTTTGTGAACTGAGCTAGCTGGGCCACACGGCTTGGCTAGGAGCCCTCAGACCGGGTTTGTGAGGACAGAGGGAATGTTATCTAGCCTCTGATTAAAACCGTCGCCCTTCCCAGAAACAGTTCTCACTCACTTGCAGCTGACACTGAGCCAAGAGGAAGACAAAGCCTAACTGCCTTCTCCTCCTTTCCAGCTGAGACCCGGCCTCTTTCTCCAGCCTGGCGGCCCCTGGCCCTGACCTTCCTGGCTTTGTGCTTGGTGCTGCTGATTGGCCTGGCTGTCCTGGGCTTTGTATGTAAGTCAGTGCTCTGACTTGGGGAGGAGCCTGGGTAGGGTGAGAGATACTTAATGATGGATTTTAAAAAAATTTTTGTTCCAGGGCCAGTGGCTAATTCAACGTAATTTCTTTTAATCTATCACTTTACATAATAAATAGTGAAAAAAGCCTCAAAACATAGAAATTCCTTGCCAGGTAGACTTGTACATTCTGGTTAGATAGGGGTTCATCTGCTACACACACACACACACACACACACACACTTACACACACACACACTCACACAGAGATTAATGAATGGATTACAAGTTTTGATCAGCAATTTCTGTTTCATCTATTCCACAAAAAGAGTAGAGTGTTGGTGATTTCATCTTTCTGTATTCCAGGATCATGGGCTAATTCAAAGGAAAGAGATTTTATTATATCTCTCAATAATAAAAAAAACAGGTCAGGTCTTTTATAACTACTTTTTTTAGAATTTCTGGAAATTATAGAATCATTTCTTAAAATTTGATAAAAATTTAAAAAAGGGAAAAGTTCATACGTAAAAATGTCTTTTAGTTTTAAACTAGGAAGCGCATGCTGAAAACAAACAAAACAAAACAAAACAAAACAAAAGTAGTTGGTTTATTTGCTCCAGTCTTTCCTCAATAGAAAGGAGGTCACATAGAAAAAAAATGATTTATTTTGGATTTTGAGGCCACAGCCAGTGGTGCTGAGAGTCTATTATTGCTGATATCTGGGGTTAAATCAGCTTTGGCCATATGCAAGACAAGCTCCTTAAAACTCTGTACTATCTTTCCATCCACAAGAATAGACTTTTATATAAAAAATTGGAGGTTATAAGAAAGCTTACAAGCTGTTATTTGTGAGATTGAATAATAATATAAAAAGACATCAAACATTCTTACCTTAGTTTAATATAGTTATTATTTGAATACACCACTTTCTTTTAAGGATTTAAAAGAATACTCATGGATTAGAAAAGATCTATTAGATTTAAAATCAGGAAGAAAACCTAGCAACTGAAATTTTCTAGTCAAATGATAGCAGAGAAATTGCTTTTGGTCACTACACTAAATTGAAAACCTATAAAAATTATAGAAATACTAATATGACAATTTTGATAACTAAGTGAAATAACAGGATATAATAATATGTAGTTCTTAAGATGGTCAATAGTGAAATGAATTTGGGAGATTTAGCATCACTAATGGTTTGAGTGCACACATAAAAATTTTACTAAATAGTAAATACAGTTAAAGAATTTATTCTGACATAAGAGACTGTAGCACTGTAGCACTGTCCTCTTGTTGTTTATCTATTTGCTTGAGAGGGCACCAGTAATGTCTCCATTGTGAGACTTGTTGTTACTGTGTTTGGCATATTGAATACGCCAGGGGGAGATTGCCAGGCTCTGCCATGTGGGCGGGATACTCTCGGTAGCTTGCTGGGTAGTCCAAGAGGAATGGAGAAATCGAACCCAGGTTGACCGCGCTAGAGACTGCTTACAAATCCACATTTTCAGAAAAGACAAGGACAGAGTAATTAATTTGCCTGATCTGATGCAAGTCATTATATATAGACTCCAAACCTGAAAATTGGCACTATTTTCAAGCTAAAGATCTTAAGTAATATATTATTTCGTCTTTCCATATATGTAAAATAAGTATCAGAACTGGCAATAAAACTGCACTGTCTGATTTTGAAACTTGGGTTAGTTTTCCAGTACTACCAGCTCTCCAACACCCAGAAAGACATTATTTCTCAAAAGGAGGAAAGGTTGGGGAACCTCTCAAGACAGCTACAATCTCTTCAAGACCAAAACAGGAAACTTAGAGAAACCCTACAGCGTGTGGCTGAAAAACTCTGTCGTCAACTCTACAACAAAACTGGAGGTGAGTGAGGTCTGGATGCTGACAGAAAAACTCAGGAGAAAGTCAACTTTTCCATCAGTGCTCCAGAGTACCTCATGCTATTTAACTGACCAGTTTAGTAAAGAATTTGGGCACCCAGATTATCACTGATTACCAGGAACATGTAGGTCAGATACTCAAAGAGCTTCTCCAATTTGAGACATTCTAAACAATAAAGACAATTAACTTTGAATCACCCAAATAATGAAACAATTGAATAAAAGATAGGATTAGTGCTCAATTCACCTTGGGAACCCAGGGTAGAATATATTTCATGATGTGTTTACTAGTCCTTCTTCAATAAGTAGCTAATAATAACAGTTCCCAAATTTTAATAATCATTTTAAGGATCAGGTTTTAAATGCTGATAAATTGTACCAGATCCAATAGGACTTGTGTAGGAATGGCCTAATTTGAATTTTAATAAGGATCTCTTGTGATGGTGATTACGCGCATGGCAGAGAAATTGTGTTTTGATAAATACTACTTGAACAAAGCTAGAAGAAACATTTCAATCCTTTATTTTCTTTGTCTTTCATTCTTTTGGGGTTTCATACTGTTCCATTCTATCCTATCTGTCCCTCCCATTTTGTATCCACATCTTATTTATCATCTAGAAACTCTGAAGGATGGCAGGATGATGTCTTCTTGTTACCCACATACACAACCTTCCCTTTCCTAAGCAGACAGCCTGGTGGCATGGGTTTTCTAGTAAGTTCTATCAGTAGGCACACTTCGACTTCTCTGTGGTTATTTCTCACAGGACTGATGATCTAGCTGTTCATGATTTTTCCCTTTCATTTGTAAACTGCATTGAGAACATATTGTAGAGCATATTGTCTACATTTAAATACTTAAAATCCAACACTGCATGGTTCCTTGAGCACTACAGGAGGTAACTCTGAGCACCAAGCCAGGAGTAGCCTTGAGCACTGACAAATGTGGCACCAAAGTAAACAAGAAGTATATATGCAAATATAATGGTGCCCCTCCTTATTTTTACAAAAATAGCCACAACATTTTGGTTTCATGTTAATGCTGATTTGTATTCTCTTGTTCTATTTCTTCCTCTCTTCTTTCTCACTAGTCATCCATCTATTCATTAATCCTTTCATCATGCACCCAGCTGGTATTCTTTGAGTGCTCACTGATGCTTGCAAATGAAAGGTACAATGCTTTTGAACCCCTTACTCTTATTGTATGGTAGCAATAAATTTGTCCTCAAATTTTATATTGTCAGAAACAAAAGTCCACATTGGGGAGGATCTCAAGGCTTACTTCTGGCTCTGTACTCATGAATCACTTCTTTTTTTTTTTTTTTTTTGCCTTTTGGGTCACACCCAGCGATGCTCAGGGTCACTCCTGGCTCTGCACTCAGGAATTATGCCTGGCGGTGCTTGGGGGAGACCATATGGGATGCTGGGGATCAAACCCAGGTCGGCCGCGTGCAAGGCAGACGCCCTACCCACTGTGCTATCACTCCGGCCCCTCATGAGTCACTTCTTGCGGGGGCTTGAGAGACCCCATGGGTTATCAGGCATTGTACCCCGGTTGGCTTCTTGCAAGGCAAGAGCCTTCCTGCTGTGCGATCTCTCTGGTCCCATTCACCATAGATCCTTAAGGGACTTAGTAACCAGTGTCCAACTCTCAAAGATCAAATACCCACAAAGATGTTTAAAAACCCTGACTAGTTTCTCTATTCACAACCACCACATACGCACATAGTCTATCTCACCTACTTCTTTTTTATTGTTATTATTTTTTGTTTTGGTGAGCCACACTCATTCAAGCACAGGCATTACTCCTGGCTCTATGCCCATAGGCTCTATGCCCTGGCAATGTTGGGGGAATGATATGAGATGCCAGAGATGCCAGGTTGATTGGGTTGGCAGTGTAAAGGCAAGCACTCTCCCCACTGTACTAAGTCTCAGGATTCTACTTCTCTTACTTCAATGTCTATCTTAACCTTTGATACACAAATTTATGATAATCTTCATGCTTGGCTTAGTATTTATATTTTTTTGCTAGAATTTTATTTTCTTGTGTTCAGAATGAAAAAAGAATCCTACTGATATGGATTACATAGCACTGTCCTGTCCTCCCACTGTTCATCGATTTTGCTCAAGCGGGCACCAGTAACGACTCACAACAAATTGTGAGACTTGTTGTTACTGTTTTTGGCATGTCAAATGCGTCATGGGGAGCTTGCCAGGCTTTGCTGTGCAGGTGAGATATTCTCAGTAGCTTGCTGGGCTCTCCGAGAGGGGCAGAGAAACTGAACCTGGGTTGGCCATGTGCAAGGCAAACGCCCTACCCATTGTGCTATCGCTCCAGCCCATGGATTACATACATTAAAAAATTCTTCTCATTTTTACATAAGATAATTGTAGGGAAAGAACATGACAGAAGCCTCAATTGTTTCTAAGTATGATATATAATGAGTTTCTTAAAATGTTTTATGATGTTGAGCATCCTTTATTAGAATTAAATTGCATAGGCGAGGAGAATGTTCCATTTGTGACTAAATCTCACAGCTGAATGAAAGTAAGCAGTCTTTGCTTTAATTTACACTGTATTCATGCCCACTATAATTCTTGATCCATTCTAGTTATTTAGACATCAGCAATTATCTAAAAGAAAGAGAATCAGTTCTTCCCTGGATCATTGAATACTTAAAATATGATTTTAAGAGAGGAAAGACAGCATATTGGGGTAGAAAATAATATTAAAATTGATTTCTTTCCCCAGAACACAGATGCAGCCCTTGCCCAGATACATGGAAATGGCATGGGGACAAATGTTACCAATTCTCTAGCAAGAGCGAAAATTGGCAGTGCTGTGATTATTTCTGCACCGCTGCAAACGCCACCATGTTGATGATACACACAAAACAAGAGCTGGTAAGGTCCCGAGGATTAGTCAACGCTCAGAGTACTGTCATAGAAAGTACTAAAACGTTGGTAGTGGATATAGTCTGATAATTGCATGTGCTCATATAAGGTATCGCAAACCAACACTGCGTCAAATAGGAATTTTTAGGGCAAAGGCTGTGAATCAAATTATATGCCTTATACCTTGCATACCTGAAACTTAGGGTTTGACCCTAAACATTATGAAAAATGTCCCTTCCCCCATGTAGAATATGATCCCCCCAATTGATAACAACAGCAAAGTACTTAAAAAATTAAATATAGTTTTACAAGAAGCTTCTAAAGAGCAAATTTCACAGATTCTCTATTGTTGGGTCATGTCAATCAAGGCCTAAGTCTCTTAGTCTCATTTTGAATGGACTTCTGAGATCTGTTAAAAAAAGAGAGTCTGGTTCTCCACAAACATTTACCCCTATGAAAGGAAAGAGGAATCTTCAAACTCCCCTAATTTAGGAGTGAAATGGAAAATGTCTTAACTTCTCACTTTTTTTTTTTCTTTCGGAGGGAGGCTAGTGGAGAACTGTCAGCAATACCTGAGAACCCAAGGGATATTTTCATTGATACTGTCCAGTGATGGGTCCAGTGCTACTCAGGCCTGGCAGTGCTAGGGGCTACCTGGGCCATGCCCACAGTGCTGGGGGTTTGTGCACTGCCAAGGATTCAACCTGGTGCCTCACACATGCAAGGCATAGACTTCAACCCTTAAACTATCTCCTTGTCCACAATTACTACCTTTTTTGGAGGGGGATGGGGTTATTAGCTATGAAGGGAAGATCAAAGCAGCACTTTATGCTTTTCCATTTTATTTATTTATTTATTTATTTAAGTTTTGTTTGGGGGCCCACACCTGGCAGTGCTCATGGCTTACTCCTGGCTCTGTGCTCAAGGATCACTCCTGGTGAGCTCAGGAGACCATATGGGACACCAGGGATTGAACCAGTGTTGACCCCATGAAAGGCAAATGCCTTTCGTACTGTACACAAGACCTGCTCTTTCCATTGTAAAAGTGATAAGAATTTTCCATTGAAAAACATTTAATTCAAATCATAACCATTAATTAAATCATTACCAAAATCTGCAATAAGTTCCCTGTTTTCCAGAGATGTTCAGTTGAACATAGACCTATCATGCAAATCAGAGAATGGAATTCTAAATTGGCATGTATTCAGTATATGCAATTAAAGACACTACTAAAATGACATTCTTGTTTCTTTGTCTCCAGCATTTACTATTGCTTTTATATTTAACTAACTGTTCAAACAGTAAGACAATTATTTATTTGTCATTGTTTTAGTAGAGGTTCTTGTGCAGAATAGGTTATCAACAGTTATTTAATTGAAATCAATTCCCAGGGAACTATATACACACTTATCATTTTTCTATTTGTATCTTAATTCCACCCTTTTCCTGAAATCTGTGAAAAATGAATGACTACTTTTTTTCTCATCTACTAAATACTATTTTTCATTTATTCTTGATGACCTAATTTAGATAGAAAGAGAGGTAATTCATTTGACTAAAAAACTGGAATTAGAAAAACCATAATTCTAATTCAACTTGTTTATTTTATTTGCATTCGGTTTTTATGTCACACCCAACTGTGCTCAGAGCTTACTTCTGGCTCTACACTAAAGGATTACTCCCAGTGGGACTCCATGAATCATTTGTGCTACTGAATATTGAACTGGGTCAACTGCCTGCAAAGACAACACCTTTCCCACTGTACTATCTCTTTGGGCCTCTCCTAATTATTCTTATTCTCTTTGTTTCTTCCAACCCGAACACACATGGAGAACTTGGGTATAAAACTGAACCAAATAACTGTAGGAAACATTTCTGTGAAAGTTATAGAATAACTTTTTCATAGGTGCTCTATATAATTTTCACAGAGATGTAAATCATCTTAGATGATTTATTTATAGACTTTTTTCATATGAAAGGACCAGCATTCAATTGTGAACTATTTTTATGTACAGTTTTTGGGTAGGCTAATAATCTTTTAGTATGCTAATAATTTTTATTGAACTAACAAATGCCATTAATTTTCAAGAGTTGAAGACATAAGAATGAGAAAAACAAAGTATGCATCCTTAACGAATTGCTAATATATTGGAAAAGAATGATATAAAAAGAATTATAACAAAATTATATTATTTCTCTGTTAAAGAATGAGACAGGATGGCAAGAAATATGTAATTTTAAACTTTTTTTGCTATGGATTTTTGACTTCAAACAAACATCCACTTGTTTCACCAGGAAAACAGATTTGCGCAGAAACACAAACAAAAATGCAGTTAGGAAACACAATCTCATTGTTAGAGCCATAAATACTTCCCCCAGAACAAAAGAATAAACAGATAAAATTAGAGAATCTGTTGCAAATGGAGATTCCATCCACGAAAACTGAAACTCAGTGACTTCTCATTCACTGCCCTATAGCAAACTCCCACTGTCTCGGCCTCTCCCTTCAGTTTAAGATACAAGGAATATACTCAGTTCTGTAGTGTTTGCTGAAAGCGAGTTCATAGACAACTCTCTGCTGCCTCCCAAATTCATTTAAGTAGAGTTTCTATCTATTCATTTTATAGGATGTTAGAACAGGTGTATTCATATATGATTATATGCATAAAATTATGCTAAATTTATCAAAATTGATATTCCAACCCTTTCTACTCTGAGACAAATTCTCCTTCTAAATTTTTCCACCATTTTTACATTAAAGCATCTTTTTCTTTTCTTCTTCTTAGACTATCCTCTAACATTCCTTCCCTGCACTTTCCCTTCCATTTTCTTCCATTCCTTGATTCACCCCACTTTTCTTTATGGATCTGACTGATATTATTCTATCAGTCTGAGTATTTAATTCTATGACTTGAAAATAATGGGCCAGTTCTAAATTTTTCTGATGCAATTCCTGGTTTCAGAATATCAGCATATATGCATGCTTATTAAAGACAAAATAAATTCCTTAACTAAGACAAAATAAATTTCCTAAGACAAAATAAATTCTTAAACTTGAACAAATTAACAGACCTTAACACAGATGACCTTTTTCTAAAAGATGTTATTTATATGAAGCAGAACTCACATGTCCTTTTATAAAATTTTTAAATTTTATTTTCATAAAGTTGTTCACAATAACCGATTATATTCAACATTTCAACACCAATCCCACCACCATTACACCTTCGCACCACCAGTATTTTGAGTTTCCCACCACCACTCATGCCTGTCCCGCAGGAAGATTCTAGATAATTTAGTCTGTATTTCTTGTTATGAATAGTATGAAATGTCTGTAAAGGTCTATCTCGCAGTGATTCAAAAAAAAAAGGACAAAAAAAAGGTATGAGATATCGCATGGCTGCTGTGTGGCCATGCACTCCTGGGATCATAAAAATTTAAATAATTGAAGTCTGGAGCCATCCCTGCAGTGAGCTGCTCAGTTCCAAGATACATTTGTGAGTTTCTGTATCCTGCCATCAATGCACTTAAATGGCAGTCAGAGTCATTTGTGGGCATGGTAGCCAGGATCCCATTGGGGTGGAGAGATGGGAAGGAGTGGCCCAGTTCCAACCCCATGAGACTTGGCACTTTCAGTCACTGGTCCTGCATACCTGGGTTTTTCAGCAGATTTAGTCTCTCACTTGGGGGGCCCAGGACAAGCCTGTGAAGATTGGTAAGCCCACGAACTGCCTGACTGCCATTTAAACGCATTAATGGTCATGATCCAGAGACTCACAAATAAATTTCAGAACCAATCAGCTCACTGCTGGGACGGCTCCAGATAACAGTCTGAGCTGATTTCACCAGGGCACCTCAGATGGCAGCAGGCGTTCTCTCTCTCTCTCTCTCTCTCTCTCTCTCTCTCTCTCTCTCTCTCTCTCTCTCTTTCTCTCTCTCTCTCTCTCTATCTCTCTCTCTTTCTCCCCCTGCACCAGATGAATGCTAGAAGCCCTAAACCTCCAGAAACCAATCGCTGCCAAATGTCCTTTTATAGTCAAAGTACTAGCTGCCCCACACAACTCTGTAAATTCCAACATCTCTAAAGCTAAACGTTTTCTCATGGGTATTTCACAGGAGTTTGCCATGCCTCAGAGCTACAATGAGTTTTTCTACTCTTACTGGACCGGGTTGTCTCGCAACATCGGTGGCAAGTCCTGGCTGTGGGTGGATGGAACTTCGTACTCCCCTGAACTGTAAGCCTTCACAACACTTAAGAGAAAGACATTTTGTAGGGGAGTTTTGCTTGAGTGATAGGGTTCAGTGATTTGATTAAACCAGCGTTAGCTTGATCCAACATCTATACTGTACTGAATATTCTTCTGAAAGGGCTTGCTCATTTCAACATGGGCTATAAAACATGGCACCTGTCTTGAGTGCTGTTTAAGCAAGCAAGAGAGGTAAAGGTAAGGTAAAGGCCCTCCCGTTGATCGTCGATTTGCTCGAGCGGGCCCAGTAACGTCTCCATTGGAGACTTTGTTGTTACTGTGTTTGGCATATCGAATACTTTTGGTAGCTTGCCGGGCTCTCCGAGAGGGGTGGAGGAATCGAACTCGGGTCAGCCATGTTGGCCGCTTGTAAGGCGAACGCCCTAACCGCTGTGCTATCGCTCCAGCCCAGCAAGAGAGATCAATGCAAAAATGCTATCTTGTGTTTGAGGACTGTGTCCTGTCAGGTTGCTTTCTACAAATTATGTTTCAGGGCCTGAGACTTATTTGGAACATAATAAAGTCTCAGAGAGGGGGATGAAGGAAGAATGGAGGATGGAGGGAAGAAAGAGAGAGACAGACAGACAGACAGACAGTGACAGAGAGAATGAAACCCAGATAATGACCTGACTTGATTAATAACACACAATTTGTCAGTCGACAGTGATAGTGCCAGACCTCAGAGTTCTTGACTTTCTGTGTAGTGAAATGGATAGCATTGCTTGAAAAATACATTCTCTGCAGATAGATTTAATGGACTATAAACAAGAATATAAAAATTCAATTTTGCTGGTTCATTTAGATAGGACTGTGGCCTCTGACATAGACAAATGAAAAATCTATACCAATATATATTATAGTTCAGAGCCATATGTAGACAGATACCTTTTTCTTTACATACTTTTGGGGTTTATTCTCCAGGGTGATAGAAAATAGTCAATGTAGCTATTTTGATTTTATAAGGCATAGACTGAATAGGTGGATAATTTTTAGGTGACGTTAAAAATCAGAAAAAAATGGGATTACAGGCCATATTTTGATTTACTTATGAGCACTTTTTGTTGTTTGGGGCAACTTTCTATTTCTAAAATGGAGAATACCAGTTGATGGACTGAAAAGAAAGTTGAGTGATCCCATTTTTGTAGCAAACTTGTTTGGGATATCTATTCTATACTTTTATTAAGTATACCGTACTTCTGTATACTTTCTGAGTCCTTAATGGACTCTGCTTAAATGAATTCTTTGTATTTTTTTCAGGTTTGAGATTAAAATCGATTACTCCAGCAAAAGGAGTAGGGACTGTGTGACCATTCTCAATGGAAAGGCTTTCTCAAAGAACTGCCAGGAATTGAGGCTCTGTGCCTGTGAGACAAAGGCCACCCTGGTGAAGCTGGAGGAGCTTCTATAACATTTCCATCCATAGGGAGGAAATCATTGACTCCATAGCTGCAGGTTCAACTTCCAGATCCCTCAGAGTTGAAGACTGGAACGAAGGTCTGTCTCTTCAAATGCGTCTGCGATAGCTTTGTTTTGGCTCATTTGTCTTTCATTTGCTCCATGTTTATGCAGCAATTCATCCAAAGCACTGAGCCTAGACAGGTGATGGGGAGGGATAATTGAGACTTTGGGGGCATGGAATATAAACCAGGAAAGACAATTTCTCTGACTGTACAAGGAAGATGTTTGTACTTTTTATTCAGGATCACCAGCACTTCTGAGCTTGGATTCAAACAAACTTTTATTAGTCGCAGAGAAAAAGCTGTATTTATGCCTCAATCTGTCCCAGAATTACAAGATTGTCATCCACTACCTTATTTAGAGAGAAATTTCTCTGTATTTTTTTTCAGTATCTTCGATGCCATGTTTTTCTTAAATATTTGAAGGAGTAAAATAGGAAAATAAACCTTAGTGATACCCTTCGCACCAACAATCATGTTGCTCATGAGAAATTAGCCATTACTTTCTCTATGTTGCTATCAAAATACAGAATTAATTCATGTTGTTTGCTTTGGTTCAGACTTTCCTCTCTTGAAAACGTGTGGTAGAGCTTTCATCTACTTTGTCTATGACCTGTTTCCCACTAAAATGATTCTCTTCATTGGAATCTAAAATTCTTACAAACATATCTCACTTATCCTTTTAAAGTTCCACAGTCTCCATTGTCTAGGAATTTCTCTCAGGAAAGAAATATGCTCATCCCCACTGTTCCAGAGTTCTCCCTCTAGAGAGACTGATGAGAAGAACCAAAGTTGGTTTCTTTGTGTGTGCTTGTCGTTTGGGTTTTAGTTTTCATTCCCTGCCTTCAACATTTGTTTATTTAATTCAGGTATAAAATATTTAATAATAATAAATAGAACTAATGTGAAATGTGTGCTTTTAGAATGTGTTTAAGATCTGGGAAAAATGTCAGCATGGAGGTGTTCTTCCACATAGGATAGTACCAGGGTTTTGTCTGTGCCTCATGGAGAGTTTGTAGGCCTGACTTTATTTTTTTTTTTAAATGAGATGTCTCAAATACATCTTTTGCAAGATCATGTTAATGCTTTTCTAAAATGAAATCTCTTTAGGCAAGTTTATATCATCAATATAGTTAAAGGGGGATAAACTGACTTACAATACTTCTTATTAATTCAGGTCATGGAATGTGAAAGAGAGCCTATGACAGATGGCATCTGCATACATTTTATTTCTCATGTAGGCACTTCTTTGGCATGCACCAAAAGAAGAAATCCCTGAAAAATAATGCCACAATCACCAACTTTGTTGGTTTATAGATAGATCAATTTTTCACTAGAGTGAAAAATCTGTGAAACATCTTTAATTTTCAACAGTGGAAGCAGGGTTTAATCATGTTTGCTTTCAGACAACATGGAACTCATGGAGTGGTGACAGTAAGTTAGCAAAGAAGATAAGTAGAGCACTTTCATAAGACTTGTTACATGCCAGTTGTCACTCTGAGTTCGTAAATACTTCCTATTCATTATCTGTTGATAAGCTAAGAAATTTCTTCAGTGATTAAGAGACTTTGTGTGGATTTATTATGTCGTGCAAAGAGATCTGAATTTGCAGGCATAAAATAAGAGTTTAGACCACTTACTTTGTCGTAATTCTGAGAAAAATGCTTTATTTCATGAAACCAATTTTGTTAAGTACAATGTCCAAGTGCAGTTTCTTCATATGGTTAACTGGAGTGAGAAAAATGTGACATTAGCCTTATAGTCTGAATTATAATAAAAATGTAAAGGACACCAAAAATATTTTAAAAGACGAGAAGGAATTTAGTGTTAATTTTTTTAATGATAGGAGAATACACCAGTATAGCAGCATTTATTTTGAGGCATGTAACACTGCAGCACTGTCCTCCCATTGTTCATCGATAACGTCTCCATTGTGAGACTTGTTGTTACTGTTTTTGGCATGTCCAATTTGCCACAGGGCATTTTCCAGGCTCTGCTTTGCAGGCAGGATATTCTCGGTAGCTGGCCGGGTTCTCCAAGAGGGATAGAGGAATCGAACCCGGGTCAGCCACGTGCAAGGCGAACGCCCTACCCGCTGTGCTATGACTCCAGTTCTTTGAGGTACGTATTCTGAACTAATTATAAGAATGCTCTTATATTGGGAAATTCTGAGTATTGCCAAATATTTCCTGTAATAAGTACAGATATTTCATGAGAACAGTTAAGATACAAGTGTGTGACGGTAAATGTAAGCTATTAAATGTTACTTAAGCTCTGCCACCACATTAGTGATGCTGAGATCATAAGGAGTGTTCTGACAGTGTAGGGGGGGTGTCACCACTGTCATACTCAGTGTTGCTTTGGGGATCAAACGGTGCGGGGGAATTGAACTTGGGGCTCCAGCCCTTTTAGTCTTCTCTCCAACCTGAAAAGATATATTTAATATGAGAAAGTCAAATGACTTTGTGTGTAAAGTATAAAATAGGCACTTGACACATTTTTGTTTGTATGTCATGGTGTGATGGACAGAACCCAAGGCCTCACCAAGACCAGGCAAGCTTTCAACTACTGAGTCACCTTCCTGCTCCATGTAAAAAATCTGATTCGTAGTTCCAGGTAACTGCAGAACAAAACGTCAAGTGAACAAATGAATGTCACTGTCAGAGCAAGGGGTTCTCTCTTCCAATCTGCGAGCTAAGATCAAGTATCACTTTAGAGGGTGAGGAAGGAAAAATTTGCACTTATTGGACCTCTTTATTATATTCTTGAATGTATCATTCTTCTTAGCTCTCAACTTCTTAGTCTATATAGCAAAACTTGCAATCTCTAGCACCACAATTACAAATATTTTAAAGGAACAGAAAAGGAATGTGCCACACCATTTTTCCTGAACTTTTTAAAATAGTAATTGGAAATAGCCATGACATAAAAATATGATTTGCTGAGAACTTCTGTTTTTATTTTGAGAATTAGGATGGTATCCTAGGAACTCTTATTTTTCAGCATGAGAAGACATTGCAATGTCTGCTAGACTCCCGGAGGTTTAGATCATCCTACAAAAGTTGTAGGAAAAGTCAGCAGGGCCTTTTCTGGTTGGTCCCAGTTCCCCAGACACACAATGAGCTATTGCTTTTCCTGAGGATATTGAACCAGCTCTTAAAATTTATCAACAGGAAGCAGCTCGAAAGCCCTGTAACAGCAGGAAGTGTGCAGAGTGCAATGGGAATTTTTATTTTGGGGATATAACAGATTATGAACTAAATACAAAAGTCACTACAAGGTTGTCTCAGGCAACCTCGTAATATTTTGGAGTCAAATGCTTCCATGCTTCGCCAATGATTCTTAGAGTTTCAGAACTATCCAAAAAAAAAAAAGGTATCATGATCTGATTTTAAATTACACATAATTTTTTTACGAGGTCCATTGTGTAAATAAAATGGACCTTATAAATTCCAACACTATTATTCTTGATCAATACTTCTATTTAAACTTTTTTTTGCACAGTTAATGTGCTTTGATCATAACATATTACAACGCCTCTTTATGTTCATATTTTTATGTTGTTTTCTATCCTCTTTCTTTTTTTTATTGTTATTTTTTGTTTTGGGGTCACAGCAGGTTGTTCTCTCGGTGCTTACTTGTGGCTTGGAGTTTAGGTCTGGCAGGATTGGGTGAGCATATCGGGTGCCTGGGATCAAACCCTGGTCAATCTAGTGCAAGGTAAACACCTTGCCCATTGGGCCTTCATTCCAGCCTTTATTTCATCTTTGTAAAAAGGCTTGCTTGGATCTCAGTGAGACGAATCAAAGACATTGAATTCACTGTGGTGAAATTAGAATATAAAATGCTGAAGTTGGTGAAAAGCCCAATTTCTTGCTGCTGCCTTGAAAAGGACCCTGGTATTCTGGGTCAAAAGAACTCCCAGGAGAAAATAAACACCCTGACATCTGCGTGGAAAGCAGGATCACCCAGAGGAAATGTGCAGAAGCTCACACCTGCCACTCTATAGGGAAAATTCTAACGTGTAAATCTTGCACCAGGCATTGGTCCGGTGACCTTAGTGGGAGGATGTTTGCCTTGTGCTTCATTGTACTTTTCTAAAAAGTTAATAATTGCTTCCTAGCTTTTCACTAAACATAGCTCCAGGACAATACTTTGAAGACTCCTGAAGACAAACAATCTTTACTGCTAAAACTTGCTATTGTTTTTCCTTTAGTCCAGGTTTTCATAATTACTTGCCAGCTGCCAGCTGTGAAAATCAAATGCAGGATAACTTAATTTCTTTTGTCCTTTTTCAGGTTCAGTAGAAAACTAAGAACCTTTTTATTGAAATTCCCACCATTTAAGTTCCAGGTAAAGGGTGAATAAAGACCAAAAAAAAAAAAAATCCCCACACACATACCTACACTCTTCCCATTCTGAAAGGAACTTTTTTTCCAGAAACCACCTTTTTTTACAGTATGTTTTTAAGGTCTTTTACATTTTAAGGTATTTTAAATAATTTCCACTGCCTTAGTGAATGAGATTTCACTTTATTTAGATCTTCATTGTAAGGAGAGAAAGAAGAGGCTCTAAAGCACACCAGGTACTACTTAAGAGAAGTGAATGACTAATATATTGAATTTTTATTTGGATTTAGTAAATATTTGGTGGAAATCTACTGCATGCGATGTTATACTCAGAATGGTAAATGGAAAAATATTGATAGAAGAATTAGCTGTGGTTTTCATCTTCCTGTAGACCACCAGAAAATTTTATATCCATTGTCTCCTGGGAGCAAGTTATTCCATGTTTAAGGACATTGCAGACCTGAGATATGTGTTGGTAATGGAATTTTTTGAGGTGATTCACTTATGTTGAAACTGATGTCTACAGACAGTTGCTGACATTTTACCTATAAAATTTATCTTCTCAAAGTTCCTTGAACATGAGCAGGAAAAGCGATAACTTTTATCTGGAAAGCAAAAGTAAAATTGATACCTGGAGACAAATGATGATTTCCTCCAGAAAACAGCAAGCACAGCTATTATAGTAAATGATAACTCCAGACAGCAATTTATAGAGACTGGTGATCCATCGTCAGACAGAACTTTGAAGAAAGAGGTATCATTGTTTTTCAATGATAAAAAAACATTGAAAAACAATGTGGAGAGATGGAGTCAGCAGTGATAGATAGTATTGTCAAAAATTAAAATTTGATTTTAAATATTTTAAGTGCCAGAGTGCCAGGCTGACTTGAGAGTTCAGATCACAGGTGCTTTGATACCTGAGCTATAATGGTCGATGACAGGGATAAGGGAAGGGCACAGATAATATTGATAGCCTGACTACTCCTTCTATTTATGGAATTTTGGACAGTCAATCTTTCTGGAACAATTCTGTGCTTCTAAAAGAAGACAGTCCCGAAGGTTGAAGCACAGCCAGCAGCATGTCTTCTAATTTGAAAATTAAAATTCCTGTCCTTATACCCTATTGGTCTCATAGCACAATGCCTAGAAGTCTAGAAAATGCATAGGAGAATCTGGAAGACAGTGAGTTTCAAAGATCATGCTGATTTATTTTTCAAACCAGCGTAAAATGTATCATCTCCCCAATGACATGGATATCTGTGCATTCATAGTTAAACAGGAAAGGAAGGAAGGAAAGAAGGAAGGAAGAAAGGAAGGAAGGAAGGAAGGAAGGAAGGAAGGAAGGAAGGAAGGAAGGAAGGGAGGGAGGGAGGAGGGGAGAAGGGGAGAAGAGGAGGGGGGAAGGGAGAAGGGGGAGAGAGAAGAGGGGAGAAGGGGAGGAAGAGTGGAAGGGAGGAAGGGAGGGAGGAGGGGAGGAGAAAGGAAAAAAAGGAGGAAGGAAGGGAGGAAGGAAGGAAAGGAGGAAGGAACGGAGGAAGAAAAGAGGAATGAAGGGAGGGAAAAGGAAGGAGGAAGGGAGGAAGGAAGGAAGGAAGGAAGGAAGGAAGGAAGGAAGGAAGGAAGGAAGGAAGGGAGGGAGGAGGGGAGAAGGGGAGAAGAGGAGGGGGGAGGGGAGAAGGGGGAGAGAGAAGAGGGGAGAAGGGGAGGAAGAGTGGAAGGGAGGAAGGGAGGGAGGAGGGGAGGAGAAAGGAAAAAAAGGAGGAAGGAAGGGAGGAAGGAAGGAAAGGAGGAAGGAACGGAGGAAGAAAAGAGGAATGAAGGGAGGGAAAAGGAAGGAGGAAGGGAGGAAGGAAGGAAGGAAGGAAGGAAGGAAGGAAGGAAGGAAGGAAGGAAGGAAGGGAGGGAGGAGGGGAGAAGGGGAGAAGAGGAGGGGGGAGGGGAGAAGGGGGAGAGAGAAGAGGGGAGAAGGGGAGGAAGAGTGGAAGGGAGGAAGGGAGGGAGGAGGGGAGGAGAAAGGAAAAAAAGGAGGAAGGAAGGGAGGAAGGAAGGAAAGGAGGAAGGAACGGAGGAAGAAAAGAGGAATGAAGGGAGGGAAAAGGAAGGAGGAAGGGAGGAAGGAAGGAAGGAAGGAAGGAAGGAAGGAAGGAAGGAAGGAAGGAAGGAAGGAAAGAAGGAGGTTAGGAGGGAGGGAAGAAATGAAGGAATAGAAGAGACAAAAGGAAAAAATACAAATTTCTTTCCATCCTGGTTTCTCTATCAGGATTTTTCCCTCTGTAGCTCTAAATCAATTTTATTATTTGACATTTAACCAACATCAACTGAATGTCTGAGAGGTATAAAAGAATACTACCAAATATAAATGCAAAGACAACTTTTGTGTCCCAGAGTTTGCTTCATATTCTCACATTGGTTTATTTCTGTTCATAATTATTTTTGTAGTAGGTAGTTCTGTCTTCCAACAGCTTGCCTCCGAAATGGTTATCATGGATACGTTGCATTGTACATAATTTCTTTTAGACACAGGATTTTGATGCCTTCTTCTCACAGATAAAATGTTTCCAATGACTGCATTTAGTAGAAGAAAGAAAATTTCCTTTGAAGTACCCACAAAGCCCGGTAGTTAATTGGGGTCTCTCCTGGAGTGTACTGGAAAAGCAAACCAACAGGAGCATGGTTAGGTAAGAGCATCACAATGTTTCTGCAGGTAATGAGAACTACGTAGCTTCTTGTTTGTTTTTATCCTATTTTAGTATGTCAGTCTGCTGACAATGTCCTTCTCTAATAACCAGCTACTTTCTTGCAATAAAAATGAGTATGATTTCAACAAACGACACATTAACAAAAACACACTGAGTACAAAGACTCTAGAGTCTCCCTTCTGACTCTTTCAAATACACTTCAGAAAGTATTTTCAAAAACGTTTTAATCTGCTTACCAATCCCCGCCGTTCCATCTGAGCATAATGGGGAATTTATTTAAGTTGCTTTCATCTTTCTTAACATTCTGTGGTCATTAAAGGAAACAGAGAACATGAACTTGACTAATACGGGCTGTTCATTCACTCTCGCACATTTTGCTGTGAATGTGTTAAAGGAACAAGTGTTGGGGTGATAAGGAAGGTTGGATGCCATGAAACTATTATGAAACAACTTTTTTTTTTACTATCAGTAACCTGTTAAAGCATAGTACTGGTTATGTCCACTGGTGGAAAGTCTAAGTTATGGAACTAAGTGGACTTTTAAATTTTTTCATATTTGATGTTTGCCATCACATTTCCCTCAGAAACTCACAGATCTTGGGAGAGAGGGGAGCTGTCTTGCCAAAGCCACAGGTGTGTGCATTCATCCTGATAGAGTCCTACCCAGTACTCAAAGTCTCTATTGATCTTCTTCAGGCCAGTGACAAAAATCTGTAAGAAAACAGATGTGAGGACCAGAGAGATAATACAGTGGGTGGTGCCTGGATGTGGCTTGGTGGAATTTTAATTCTTGTGTGGTTGACACAGTTTGCTAGAAGAAACATTTTCTAACTTCTATCACTGAATTTGCACAGGCAGGAAAAAAAAAAGAGCACTGGAGCCAGAGCAATAGTATAGTGAGTAAGGTGTTTGTCTTGCTGACCAACAAGGGTTCACTCTCCTGCACCCTATATGGTATCCTGAGCACTGCCAGGAGTAATCCCTGAGCACAGAGTCAGGAGTAAACCTTGGGTACTCTCTGATGTGCCCTGCCTCAAAGAAACCCAGCATAAACCCATACTTATAATACATTTTATTTAAATTGTTTCAGTTTGTCCATATTCTGAACAAATTATTCTATTATTCATAAAATTTAAACAAATTATGAAACATAGCAGGCACATATTTTTAGCAAGGTCTGATGTAATTATGTCTTCTAGTTCGCACATATTTATGGTTGAATGATTTCAAGGAATATCTTGTCGCTTAAGATGTTAGTAAACTAGATTTAATGTCCCTTAAGCATTTCATTTTGCTAACGCTTTATTTTTAAAACTTTTCATCGCATGATATCACCTTGCTTCTTATGCTTCTGCATTGCCTTAATAACGAAAAAGAAAGTTACTATACTTCCCCATGGGGTTAAAAATAATAAATTTTAATATATATTCATTTATATCTTATAAATGCTTGGAATGAATGAACAAGTCATAAAAGACAGCCATTTTTCTTACCCCATCCTCTTTTTATTGCTGTTTCAGAATTTTAAGGCTCTTTAGGAGAGCCTTGATTATAATCTCAGGGCTAGGATGAAGGAGACGTTACTGGGGCCTGCTCGAGGCAATCGACGACAGAATTTTAAATTTAGTTTTATCTTTTGAGCTTTTTCATTTTTAATATAGCACTGTCCTCCCATTGTTCATCGATTTGCTCGAGTGGGCCCAGTAACATTTCCATTGTGAGACTTGTTGTTACTGTCTTTGGCATATGGAATATTCACGAGGAGCTTGCCAGGCTTTGCCGTGCAGGTGAGATACTCTCAGTAGCTTGCCTGGCTCTCCAAGAGGGGCAGAAGAATTGAACCCAGGTCTGCCGGGCTGGCCACGTGCAAGGCAAACACCCTACCGATGTGCTATCTCTCCAGCCCTATTTTTAATATATCTTTCTTTATTCTATTTTTAACTAAGACACCATGGTTTGTAAAGTTGGCCATAATAGAATTGTTTCAGGCAAACGATGTTGCAACACCAACTCCCTACCAGTGTCCCCAGGGTCCCTGTTATCCCCTAGCCTGCCTCCTTGGCAGATCATATAACAAATTTATTTCATAATGCTTGCTCCAATGAAACTGAAAAATGGAATTATCAGAAGATAAATCAACAAAAGTCAATTTTTAGTGATGAATTGCTTTATGATTTTAACTTATGTACATAAGGAAAATAAAATAATTTAATACAATATAGTATGCTGCCTATGCTCAGTTATATAAATAAGCTTTCAAGCCTCTGGCATCTAAAACATATTGCATTACATTTCATTTTGTATACCCCATCCTCCTTTTAATTAACGGAAGACACATTTCCCCTGATTATTGGATAAGCTGTCTTTCATTTCTCTAAAAAGTAAGCAAACTATACTAATTTCCTACTTTATCTCTTTAAAATTTTTATTAGAACAAAAAATCTTCCATTACCGAATATTAAGTAATTCTATCTATGACTTTCCTTCCTTTTAATGGATATTTTCAGAATGATATGAAACCATAAAACAATACTTACCATTTCTTCTTTGCTGTCTATTTGTAGAAGTTTAGCATCTTTCTTCAAACATTCTTCCTTACTCTTGCTCCAATTTCCAAAATTTTCAAAGATGTAGTAGCAACTTTCTCCATTTTGAGTCCAGTTTTCTGGACAAGGTCTGTGGTTCTGGGCTTTAAATATAATTTTTATTTTATTGTTATTGTAAAGGTTGTTGTTAGAATTTTATATACTAAAATATACCCTTTATCATCACCTAGTAAAGTTGGACTCTAACCAAAGAGTTCAATAGTGTGATGTGTGATGCTTTATCAATCAAAGTTTATCTGAGACTAAATACAGCTACATCTAAAAATTTTGTTTTCAGCTATAATAAATATCTAATGAATTAGTGTCAGAACAAATGAATCTTGAATATCTTCTCAATGATGTATCTTCTCTAATAAATTTTATTACTTGAGCTTTACAAATCTTTCCCTTTTCTTAGTTTATATAATTTGTAGTTATTTATTTACCTGTTTCATGTTTGTTCTTCTGACTGACCCAATTAAGTTAGGAATATACTGGATTACTAGTTGAGGTTAAATATGACAATATTTTACTTAACTAGAACAAACCATGCGTCTTCAGTAGTGATTTTGAAAATATGTGGGTGACAAACTTTAACAACTGAACTTGGAAAGGTGCCTGTCAAAAGGGCAGGTTGGAGTGGAATGATGGATGGTGGATATGTGAGGGACCCTGGGGATATTGGAAGAGAGAAGTTGACACTTGTGGCATGGGTGCTGCAAGAAGGTATGTCTAAAACCCAACTATGAAAAACTTTGTAAATCATGGTGCTTTAATGAAATTTTTTAAAATAGAAAATTGGGTGAAGAAGATTAAAGAAAAACTAAGAAGTGAATGTGCTTATTTGGAGAGTTGGATAAAACTTAAGAAGCCAGCCCTAATGTTTTACCAGAAGCCTTAACAGAAACTAAAAAGCAAAAATTTATCAATTAACAAGAAAAGGAGATCTAATTTTATACAAGGAGAACTGAGTGCAAGGATTTTATCAAGTGTGTGTGGAAAAGTTTTATAGAGGGGGGAAAAAAAGCACCAAAACTTTTATAATATTGTTTCTAAAAAATTCTTTCTATTTAGTAAATGAAATGTTATCTGTTTCCTTGGCCTGGAAATTTAATTATTTAAGGATTTTCAGTAATTCCTTTTTTGGAATCCATGCCACTCAATATCCTAAATATTTCTAATGTTGTAGCATAGCTATTGTTAGCAATGGCATTTGAGGGATTAGAGTGCATGATTTAGGTAACAAAAAGATTTTTCAGATGTCAGAAATGTTAATGCCACTTGCTCAAAGGTTGGTGACTCAGAGGTAGATTTAACTCATACTTAAAGGATGTGTGTAGGAGCAAATTATATTTAGGTACACTGTTAGAATCAAGGTGATTCAGTAAGCATTTGCAATGTTGAATTTCCGCAGAAGAAATGTGGTAGGTTTGGCTTTTCACACTGGCCATCACTTAAATAGTATCTGATAAGAAAATTCACTCTCTGAATAGTATATATATACATATTCCTAAAGGCTCACTGAGAAAGCAGAGACTATTTGAATAACTAGTCTGTAGGTCTGGTAGAAATGAAAGGTTTTAGGTTTGAAATGCTTGAGAGCAAAGTAAAAGGTAAAACTGTAAAAATTTTATAAATTTACTTTCTTATGGTGTTGAGGATCACACCCAGGTTTCATGTATGCATTTGACACATGTATGTTTTATTCATTTGTCTTCCTTGGAACTTGAGTATTTTTTTTACATTTCATCAAAGTACATGAAAAATTGAAGAGTAGATCAGATTCTGTCCCTTTTAAAATTCTAAAAGTTGCAATGAATAACACATGTGTCACAGCTCCTGCTGTGAATGTCTTTTTGCATTTATATTTTGCAGAGAGGAAGCTACTTTGATCAATTACCTGAATAGGGTGAGTTTTGCATCAAGGTTTGGCAGTTTTTCATCTGAGTTTCATAGTTCATCTTCCATTGTGTGCAGTTTGTCAATGTTTCATTGTATTGGATGAGTTTTTCTTGCTGCTGCATTGCCTTGGTGGACACCTGGAACCCTTCACACAGCAACAATTTTAATACAGTGCTGGTATAATCAGCATTGTATTATCTGGTTTTATAGCACAGCGGGTAGGGCTTTTGCCTTGCATGGTCCAGGAGTCCCAGCACTGCAGGACCGGAACAGTGCCGCATTTGCAGGCCTTGCACTGATCTGCTGACCTGCTTGGCCCAGAATCCGTGGAAGGAGTCCCCAGGCCTGCTGATGACTGCCTGGGAAACCTCTAATTTCAAATAAAACAATGGACAAAATTTCATGTCAATATATACTGAGCTGGGGCCAGAGCGATAGTGGGTAGGACATTTATTTGTCTTGCATGTGGCAGAACCAGGTTTGATCCTCAGCATCCCATATGGTTCCCTGAGCACCGGCAGGAGTAATTCCTGAGTACAGAGACAGGAGTAACCCCTGATCATCCCCAGCTTTGACGGCCCCCCCAAAAAAAGAAAAAAATATATATACTGAGCTTTTTTTTTTCTTTAGGGTCATAAAGAATTCTGTAGCATGGATATATCATGATTTATTTTAGTGTATTTCTCATTAATTTTTAGATTATGTATCATCTTTTGGTATTACAGAAATAAATAGTGTAATCAGTCACCTTAACCAGGCATAATTTCATACAAATAAAGTATATGTTTAAGATAAATTGCTAGGTCAAAGTTTATGTACATTTAAATTTTATTCAGTATTTCCAAATTCATCCTCAACATATGCTGCTGCACCTTATATCTCAAAATCAATTGAATTGGCATCTATTCTTTATTGAATGTTGCAATTATTCATATATATAAGCTATACTTATAATGATGTATATCCATTATATGAATGTCACTGATATCTAAGCAAACATATATACTAATGCATGAGGAAATATTGTAATTATGAATTTTAGGATTTTTTTCATTAGGTTATACTAGGTTATCAGCATTATTTATTGACATTTTATTTTCCTTTGCCTATAAGGAGAATCTGAAAAACTCTTGAGGTTAGTAATCTGGCAGAGATATGCTTTGAGGTCAGATAGGCCCTCCCGTTGATCGTCGATTTGCTCGAGTGGGCCCAGTAACGTCTCCATTGGAGACTTTGTTGTTACTGTGTCTGGCATATCGAATACTCTTGAGGTCAGATAAATAGAAAAAAATGTCCAAGTAAAACTCCCATTTGAATTTCTGCTGCCATTGTGTTCTGTGCAAAGCATCAGGAATTAGTAGCCTTCAGAAATAGTGGTGAAGACAAAGAATGTGGGTGATTTCAAATTAAGTGCAGTGGGGGGGTCTGAGAGGATGAAAAGCAGTTCTTGTCCTTGTCTCACTCTGTTGCCCTTTTACTCATCAAAGAGACAAGTATTTTTTATGATCTAAAGAATGTGTTTTGGAGGGTAACATCCAAGTATAAGTTTATCAGTAAACATGTCCTTTCTATTTGAGAAAGTCACATTTTTACTTTCAAAATAAAAACAATTGCCCTTGTTGTTTTGTGAAATCTTTCCTGCTCTCTGATTGCCCATGTCATCAAACACAAGATAATTATTCTGGATCATTCCCAACTTTCATTAGAAAGTATAGCCATGTAAATTCTCTATATACATGTTATCTGCATTTTCTCTTTTCTCTTATATCTGATGTCTGATTACTAGTTGAACCCAAGAAGAACCCAGAAACTTAAACAAATTTCCTTTGTTCATGTACATAGCAAACGTATTAAGGACTTGCCTGAAATAAAGTAGAAAAGTCTTATCAAAATATTCTACAAAAGTTCAAGTTTAGAATAATATGTTAGAAAGGAATCACACATATACTATTTAAATGTCCCAAATTACATACTTTCTCATGTTAACATGACTGAAACTTAGATAATATAATTATTAATGTTATTTAGCTCAAAGAAACTTGGTACATAATATGTTAGACAACATAAAGTTCAACATCAAGACTTACCAACTTTCCTTGCTTATACTTATATCAAACAAATGTCATGTAGCATGTCAGAAAGTCATTATTTTATATTATTTATGAGCAATGGTATAATATAATACAATATATAATAGTTTTCTTTGGAGAATCTGGCAGGCTACAAAAAGTATCCTGCCCCCACGACAGAGTCTGGCAAACTTCCCGTATCATACTCAACATGCCAAATACCAGTAACAATGATAGGTCTCATCCTCCTAATCCTGAAAGAGCATTGAAAGGCTCTTTTAAAATCTCAGGGCTGGGTAGAAGGAGACGTTACGAGACAATCGACGAACAACAAGATGATTGTGATCGTGATCGTGATGAGCAATAGATGCTTCTAATTGATTTATATATTTATAGAGTATAAGTTTTATATCAACATATATATTTTTAAATGTTACATATAGTATCTGGAGCAATAGCACAGCAGTAGGGCATTTGCCTTGCGCACAACCAGCCCGACCAAGCTGGGTTCGATTCCTCCGCCCCTCTCAGAGAGCCCGGCAAGCTACAGAGAGTATCTCACCAGCATGGCAAAGCCTGGCAAGTTACCCGCGAGGTATTCAATATGCCAAACACAGTAACAACAAGTCTCAAAATGGAGATGTTACTGGACCCGCTCGAGAAAATAGATGAACAACAGGAGGACAGTGACAGTCACAGTGACATATAGTATATATAGTAATTTAATTGACTCTTTTGAAGATACCCATTGTACTTACATTTGATGCCAAAGAAAATGGAAGTGGTTAATGAGCTCACGCAGATAATAGATAAAATCACAAGCACAAGGCAATTTGGTCCTAAAATGAAATAGGTATGGTGAATTTGAGCTAGATAAGAGCCAGGCAACCAAAACTGAGTAAAAGAATTAACATTAGTGGTAGGAGAAAGACTGAGGTCTTTTTCTTCTTATATATGTAAGAGAACTCAAACTCTAAGATGGAAGCAATAACTAGGACTCTGATTCTGGAAAATTCCTACACTAAAGAAATGTAATAATATTTTTATCTATGTCTTTGCTCTAACCTTACTATATAATTGCCTATATTCTGTTTCACCAATCTTCTAGTGATTATAGCATACTAGGTAAAAACCTTTAATTTGGGGAAGTAAAAATATTCTTTCTTCTCCCCATTTCTCTTCTCTTTCACTTAGCATGATTGTCTCAAAGTGTTTTTATTTTCTTTGATTTTTTCTTTTAGACAGTTTTGTGGAAGGAACATATTTTTTCCAAAAAAATTGTCCAACGATTGAGGAAAAGAAAATAAAGAATGAGTGACTAATTATATTGATACTAACCAGAAAAAAATTGCATAGATTTTTTTGGATATTAGGATATGTTGGATATTGTAACAGGCTGCATAATCTTCTTAACCAAGATACCCATATTCTAATTCCTAGATTCTGTACATTTTACCTTGTGTGAAAAATGGACTAATTTGCTGACTCTGGAGATGGCCATGATCAAGGAAATCAAGAGAAAATGTTCTAGAAATACAAATATTATATAGTAAGACAAAACCAAATCACTAGCAGACAACCTCAGTGATGAGATTGGCCAATATTCAACCCTGGTTTCTATATTTTCTTTACATTTAAGTGATCATTTGCAATGTTTCATGAAGAAACTTAAAATTTTAAATATGTCACTAATATCATTTATTTTATGAATACGGGAGTTGTTTTTCCTGCAAAAATGAAAGTATTATTTTTAAGCCCATATTTTTCTTCTCATTTTTATTTATTTCTCCACTTCATTTCATTTATTAGTGTTGGTATAACATGAATATTAGAATGTTCTTAAATAGGATCTATTGAATTAGAAAAAAAAACTTGGGTTCATCATAGAATAGGAACAACGTATTAACTGCAAGTCTTGAATTATTATTATTATTATTATTATTATTATTATTATTATTAATGGGGCTGGAACAATAGTACAGTGGATAGGGTGCTTGCCTTGGACGCGGCCGACTTGGGTTCAATTCCTCCGTCCCTCTCGGAGGGCCCTGCAAGCTACCGAGAGTATTTCAGCCACATAGCAGAGCCTGGCAAACTCCCCGTGTCATATTTGATATGCCAAAAACAGTAACAATAAGTCTCACAATGGAGACGTTATTGGTGCCTGCTTGAGCAAAATCAATGAACAATAGGAGGAGAGTGCTACAGTGCTATTATTAATAAATTATTGGAACTTGTTACCTGAGTATTTTTTAGAAGGCAGGAATTTCTCATAATGGTCTGGTGATGGATTATCCCACTGAAGAGAAGCATATGGTTCCTCCTGCATGTTAGAAATGTTTGGATAAGTAAACCTATTCCACACAGGAGACTTAGAGAAATAACTCCTTTTATAGTTAGGAACAGCTTGATGAAGAACTGAAATTGACAACTTTTAGATTTAAGGAACATACTAGATTCATTTTCATCTATGAAGAAGAAGTTCATGAAGTTTAAGCCAAAACACAACTTGGTAAACAAGGAAATGAGAAAGAAACTGGACACAAAATGAACAAAGATGAAAATGATCTCTGATTTCCAAAACAAGACATATATTAAAGATGTTATCACAGGGTTGCAGTTAAGATGAAAAAGATAGAATTGAAATGGATAGAACTGAAAAGGCAGTGCTCAAGGCTTACTCCTGATGCTATGCTCAGTCATCCCTCCTGGCCTGTACTGGGAACCATATGGGGGTCGTCCCCAAAACCTGAATCTGACACGTGCAAGAAAAGAACCCATCTACGGTACTATCGCTTCTGACACTGAGTATTGGATTTTTTAGCCAGTTTTTCTTTTTCTTATTTATTTATTTAATTATTTTTTTTGAGAATGAACTTTGACGGAATAAACTAAGCAAGCCAAATTTTATGGGCCCTTAGCTAGCCAAAAACGACCATATGTCTTGAGGGCAAGAACAGCTTGGAATACTCAGTTGCACGCCCTAAGAAAGTGAATCAAATCCTTTGCCTCACTGGCTCTTTTCGAATTAATTTGTTTTTTCATTCATTCATCATCCTGTTATTCGTCGATTGCCTCGAGCAGGCCCCAGTAATGTCTCTTTCATCCTAGCCCTGAGATTATATTCAAGGCTCTTTAGGAAAATGAGACCCATCATTGTTACTGGTATTTGGCATATTTGGTATGCCACGGGGAGTTTGCCAGACTCTGCCCTGTGGGCAGGCTACATTCGATAGTCTGCAAGTTTGTCCAAATAAACTGGATGTTTTCCATGTTCTTGGGGTCCCTGGGTAGACAATGTTTGATGGTTTCATTTTGTTGGGGAATAGCAAATGCCTAAGAAAAATAGAACAAGAGTACTGGCCTTGAGTAGGATGACTCCCACTGGGTGAGATGGGGCTGGTGGGGAGGTAAGCTAGGGAGTAGTAGGCTAGGACAATGATGGAGGGGGAAAGTACCTGCCATAGAGGAAGGGTGGGGGAGGCATGTGAAAAAATGGGGACATAGGTGGAGGGTAGTGGACATGGGTGAAAGGATTCACGATCACGACCATCCTGTTGTTCGTCAATTGCCTCGAGCAGGCCCCAGTAATGTCTCCTTCGTCCTAGCCCTGAGATTTTTTAAAAAGTACTATATTCAAGGCTATTTCAGGGTTAGGAGAATGAGACCCATCATTGTTACTGGTATTTGGCATATTGGGTACGCAACAGGGAGGTTGCCAGACTCTGCCATGTGGGCAGATTACATTCGGTAGCCTGCCAGATTGTTCAAAGTAAGAATTGCAGCCCCGCGCTTCCGGGAGCTGGGTTTTGTAATCTCTGGGTCTTGGCCGTTGATAGGATTACACGGTGCCAGGGGATCAGTTGGTGGGTGTGGACCCCTGCCTACTGGAAGATGGAGGGTCTGGGTGGAGGATGCTCAGCCCCGATTCGAGCAGGCTTGGAGATTACAGCCCCAGGACCCGCATGCCTTTGTTCCTCTGCCGGTACGTTCATGCGTGTGGAGAGTGGTCTCAGCATGGTTGTGGCTGGTTCTGGAGGTCTTCGGCTGCCAGAGCTCTGCTTGGGGTGGGGAGGGTGAAAGGATTGGTGTTGGAATATTGTAAGCCTGAGATGTAATATTGAATAACTTTGTAACTCTGTAATTCATGGTTATTTGACTAAATTAGTAATTAATTAATTAATTAGTGTTTTTTAAAAAGGTTGATGATTTCAGAGCAGGCTTATGGAAGAAACTAGGATGGCATTGTGTGTACTGTGTCCTAAAACTGATATTTATATCCATGTTCAAACTTGAAGAAACAGTATATTTCTTAGGTTTTACACTCTACAACACAGAAGTAAGCAGAAATAAAATCCCATTTAAAAACATGTTTTAAAAGTAGTGTTGGGACTGGAGCAATAGCACAGTGGGTAGTGTGTTTGCCTTGCACATGGCTGACCCGGGTTCGATTCCCAGCATTCCATATGGTTGTCTGACACCGCCAGAAGCAATTTCTGAGTGCATGAGCCAGGAGTAATCCCTGTGCATTGCCAGGTGTGACCCAAAATGAAAAAAAAAAAAAAAGGATTGTTGACTCGCTGATTGATCAAGAATCACCAGAGGGGCCCTGGTGATTTTACACCATGTTTGGGAAACAGAAGTGTAAAATAAACAAACAAAAACAAAGGGCACACACTAGGAGTCGTTAGGATAATTTGAAAAAAATATGGTGTTTCTAAAGCTGGGGAAAGATGAAGATTCATGAACTATGTGTCAGCAAACTTATCCACTGAATGACTAAGGGGGAAGGTGTTTGTGAAGTTTGGGACTATTATGATGGGGACCGTTGTGTGAAATATAGAATGTTCAGGTTTTTACCAACCCAGAATTCGGAAGGGAGAGAACCTGGGAATGAATATCCTGGATACCCTCTCCTATACCCTCTCCCATCACTGCCAGTGATGCTTCAAAGCCAAACTGGCTAGTAACTGCAGATCAAATTTGCTAAATGACACAGTTCCCATGAGTTCTGTCTCCCTACACACAGATAGGGGCCTGAAGGGCCTAAAAGGCAAATGAAAGTATTCAATAAAGTCTCCAAATATTTTTTATGATGTTTAAGGGACTTAAGATTCTGACCTGAAATATTAACATTAACACACAATTCTGGCAGAATGATTTCTATCTTGAGGAGTAAAAGAGGAAGCATTCATAGGAATAGCAAATAGATGAGAAAGAGCAAGTTTCACGGAGAGAACTTTAGGGAGCATATTCTAAGTGCTTCCAAAATATATTAAAAACAACTTGCATCAGAGTTGATGGAGATGGTGGTGATGATGTCTGCCTCCTTAATCTTGAGAGTGTCATAAGTATTTGTCTTTTATGTAAACCTCAGTTGAGATGTATGAGAACTACCTTTATATATTGTATTACCACTAAGTTGAGAGAAAAGAGTACCTTCAGAGAAGCTGGGGAAAATGAACAGAAATTTGTCTGTTACCCTGTTAAGGAGTTCCTCTCCACATATTCTATAAATACTTCCTGAGTTACCCAGCAAAACCCAGTATAGGACTGTCAGGAAAAGGAATAGATAAAGCATTGTTATGTACTGTTCTGTCTATGAGCCTGTATTGAGAAGCATTTACTCATTTCTAAATCCTTCTTTCGGATTTTTTTAAGTGTTTTTTCTTCCTTCGCACAGAGAATTTGTGTGATCATGTCTGAAAAAAAGGTAAATTTGGAAGAGAAAAATAAAAGTTAGGTTTTTATAGTATGATACAGATCAGAGTGTTTCCCCATGCCTATCTCACACAATGGGAGGCCAATTCTTTTCCATTTCTTATGAGCCAGGAACTGCTTGATGGTGAGCAGAGAGTGGTGAGTAGAAAAGAGTGGTGTCAGTATGAGGGAATCCAGAGTCAGTTAATTCTCTGACTCTTTTCTTTAGGCTGTGGACCTGTGAGATATATAGTATAAGTTAGGTCTATCTTATTTTAAAGAAAATTATCTGAAATGTTAAAGATACGTAACTGTTCAAAATAATTCTCCTGATTCTGAGACCTGTCTTCTTCCCTCTGTTATGTGTCCTCTTTCATGCTCAGCTATTCTTTATTTTGGGGGGGCTTCGGGGTCACACCCCATGATGTACAGGGGTTACTCCTGACTTTGAACTCAGTAATTATTCCTGGATGTGCTCAGTGGACCATATGGGGTGCTGGGAATCAAACCCAGATTTACCACATACAAGGTAACCGCTCTACCTGCTGTACTATCACTCCAGCCCTTCAGCTATTTATTATTTATGATTTTCAAACTTAGACATTCTGCAAAATAAATTAAATTAAGGAAATTTAACCTTAATCTTCCATGCTTCCTTTTAAAATGAATTTGCTCATGCCTGAAGATACAGTGGATTATATTACATTGCTATAATTGGGAATTGAAGGTTAGGTAATTAGAAAGTGGAAACAGTAATTTGAAAGGAAATTATAATTCAGAGACTTTTTTTTTCTGGATGTATAAGAAGAAATTCAGTCATCCCTGAGAACAAAAGGGAAAACAGGAACCAGAGACAAAGTACAGGGAGTAAAGCACTTACCTCACATGTAGCTGACCCAGGGTTCAGCCCCAACACTGCATGGCCCACCAAGCACTGCCAGCTCTGACTACTGAGCACAGGGCTAGGAGTAGCTCCTTGCACTCTTCAGTGTCGACTGTCTCCATAAAGAAATAAATAAATCATGGGTAAAGAAGGATTTTTTTTTCCTTTTTGGGTCACACCCAGTGATGCACAGGGGTTACTCCTGGCTATGTACTCAGGAATTACCCCTTGCGGTGCTCAGAGGACCATATGGGATGCTGGGAATCAAACCCAGGTCAGACGCATGCAAGGCAAACACCCTACCCGCTGTGCTATTGCTCCAGCCCAAGAAGGATCTTTAATTGTATTTGTAAGAAAGATAATGTAAAGAAGACTTTAAGGGGAATAGAGAGAAGGAAGAAATTTCATGGCTAAGTTATTCCTTAAACCAGAACTTTTATTGCACTGCCTAGCCTTGTCTATGACATCGAGGTTTTCTTTTCATATTAAAGTAGTTCATTCAGCTTTGCCATGCCAGCCTTCCTTTCACACATTAAATACTGTTTGTTCATACATAAGGTTGGGTGAATTTTTCCATTGTGAAAATAAGCACAATTCATATTTTCTCTTGCATTTCCAGAAAGCTCAAATCTGTGAATAAAAAACAAAAAATGAGTTCCTCTGAAAGCTAAATAACCAACAATCAAACAGTGAATAGTATCTTACTACATAATGGAAGCAAAAACAGAGATAAAAGAAGTAAATATTAATAGCCAGTTGAGAAATTTTCAGTCGACTTAGATATATTAACTAGATACATTTGGATAGCTCAATCGAAACTTAATATAGCACATGATTAAGCAGTCAGTGAATAATAGCTGTAGTAGGAGTCTTAATGAGGAAATAAAGGAAAATCTGAAATGATGGGAAATACTTTTTCTGACTTCTCATAGAAGAATGTACTTAAGGAAGGGTAGGCTTCTGAGAGAAAAAGAGTAGATTGGGGATCTCTAAGAGTGAGTAGCTTCACAGTAAGAGAATGATCTCAATAAAAAGAAGTTCACTCAAAAATTTTGAATTGGGAATTTATATTATAGGGTAGAAAGGATAATATGGCACATTGTATTGTAACTTCTTTCTTCCTTTCCTATTTTCTTCCAGCTTTCCTATCCCTTACCCCTTCCCATTCATTTCTTTTTCTTTTCTTTCCTATCATTTTTGGACCCGACCCAGTGGTGCTCAAGGTTTATTCCTGGCTCTGCACTCAGGAATCACTCCTTGGCAGTTTTGGGGTGTCTTAGGGTATGTTGGAGATCAAACCAAAATTAGCTGCGTGCAAGACAAGCTCCTTGCTTTCTTACCAGCCCCATGCAATTTACTTTTAAATTGTTTGGGGGCTACCCCTGGTGGTACTCAAGGCTTATTGCTGGCTCAGGGATTATTCCTGGCAGTATATTAGGGACCATATGTGGTGCCAGAAATCAAAACCAGGAATAGCCTCATGAAATGCATGTGCCTGAACCACTATACTATCTCTCTGGTCTTGTGATTATCTTTTGTCTATAGTCCTTGATAAAATATATCACAGGTCCAAAGATAAAATATTTGCTAATTTAATCTTCAGCTACTTTTGGATTACCTACTGTGTACTAAAATTATTTGCTGACCAAAAATTGGGAGGCCAAGACAATATCAGTTCTATCAGGAAATTAAGTTTATAATCAGGGACTCATGGTAAGAGAAAACAAGTAGACAAAAATGTTAGGGGTGGTACAATTTATGAAGAAACAAAGTATTTTTTATATGATGAACTTGGGGGTAGAGGGGCTCATTTCACTGAGGTAATTAAAATTGGTTTCATTGATACAGGGATGTTGAAACAGAATTAGGCCACAAGAGGGAGCCCATCAGAGAGTTCTGAAAAGCATTCTCTGAGGAAACACCAAGTATAGAAAAGTCCAAATAAAGCAAGTCTGACTTGTTGAAAGAACAGAGATATTATGCTAAGTGAAGTAAGCCAAAAGGAGAAGGAAAGTAGAATATGGGAGTATCTCACTTACCCATGGTATATGGACTAACTAGACCAGAGTATGCAATGTAGTAAACAAGGATGCCTTGATTACCCTTGAACCCTGAGAATAGGATGGAGAAGGAAAGAAATCCTGGTGACCGGTGACAATAAGAGGCAAACAGGAAGAGAAAGGGAAGGGAGAGGGTGAAGGGCCTTAGATGTGATGGTAGTGCAGAGGAGTGGTGTTGTTATACATCCAAACCACTGAGTCAATTGCACTAAAAACATTAGATCCATGTTGGGTCTGGACTGAGCTACCAGGATGAGCCCATGTAAAGTGCTCCACACATGGGCAGGAACATAGGGACCTAAGAAATGGGTGAGATTGCTCGTGTGTCCTGAGTGGTTTGGACAAGGCTGAACATCTTTTTATTTTGGCTGCCTTAGTGAATTTCATAAATTTCGATATACTGAAATTGTAGGTCATCCTTTTCTCACAGGTCCAAGCTTACTTAGCCTGTTTGTTGTCAGTATGCAGATCCTAGGTACTTAGTTTATTTGTTTTCAGTATGCAGAAAAGTTTTCAGTTTTGCATGTTCTTCCTGTAACTCCCTTGTTGATGACATCACTGTATTGAACGGTACGATGGTAATAAAAGGAGATTTCAGGGCTCTCTACCTTCGTCACAGGTCTGAGAGAACCTGGACCCTCCATGACATAAATTTCTTTCGTGTTCCTTGTCTCAGCGCCTCCGATTGAATGAACGTTCATGCAACAGATCCAAACTATAATAACCAAACTTAAAAATGTTCTTGCCAAGGTGACAAATTGTGGGTGAAGTGGGGTGGGAAGGAACCTGGGAACACTGTTGAAGAGAAAATGACACTGGTGGTAGGATTGGTGCTGGAGTATTGTATGCATAAAACACAACTATCAGTAACTTGAAATCATGGCTCTTTTGTTTTCTTTTGTTTTGTTTGGGAGCCACATCTGGCAGTGCATGCGGGGATCATATCTGGCAGGCTTGGAGGGCCATACGGGGTTCTGGGGATGGAACCCAGGTCAGCTGCAAAAAAGGCCAATGCCCTGCTTTCAGGACTATGGCTCCAGCCCCATCAATCATGGGTCTTTAATAGTATTTTAAAACAAATAGAATAGAAGAAAAGGTTGAATAAGGAAGTGCATGATAGAAGAGAAAGCTCATGGTCTGTGAATAAGATTAACTTGCAGTACAGTTGACTTCTATGCATAGTAAATACTTAGTAACATACAATGAATAAGTAGATTAAAATTTTAAGTAATGAACAAGTTGTACAAGTTGTGGTTATAAGTTTACATCTTAATTGGCGGGATGATAGAGTTTTTTTTTCACAAGATGAACAAAGGTATTATTCTAGAGATTGAGCTTCACACTCTTTAATTCATAATGCCATGATTATGCTTTGTCAAGATTATCTGTAGAAGAAGGCAGTCTCATGATAAGAACATGAGAACCAGCATGTTAATGATGTTGATGTGCCTAATTCTTGGGATTCCTGGGTTATGCTAAAAGGAAAAGTAATTTGAGTAGTTAAAATAACCCTTAAATAAACAAATTTTAGCCATAAAATAACGAGGAGGATAATTTTGTTCTAATACATAAAGAGACTCTAAACTAAACACAGGCGTACTTGTATGCACAAATTAAATATTCCAGTCATAAAGTTGAGAGTATAAACGAACAAGGGAAATAATGAAAATAGAAGTGAATTATGACTTAGGTAATGGGCAGAGTAATCAGAAAACGGAGAAAGTAAAATTGTCTTATTACTAATGTTCTCTTTTTGGGGGTAAGGGCATAGTAATTCAGCTGCCGCTTACATGATCACAGGGTACTGAGCTACCACCCAACATTTGAGTTACTTGCATTCAAGAAGAGAGGGAATGTCAAGAATAGAAAGTATTTCGTGCCCTGCATTCTGAGTGTTCAGTGACTTACATATATTGAGAGGCAGCTGAGCCATCTTCCCATGTCCAGGCTTCATGAGAATTTGGGCGGGACAATCCAACCCAACGAATAAGGCTGGTTCTGCCTTTGAGGTATTGCTGTGCAAACACAAATGAAAATCATGGTCAAAAATTTGTCATACTTCCTATCATGACAAAAGGAGGTCCTTCACTCATAAGGACCTCCTTTTGTCATAAGGATCTGAATTTTAAAATATGGTTACAATATATGCCAATATAAATTATAGTTGGCATTTAGAATTGTACTGCTAATTTAAATTAAAATAACTGTTGAACAATGGAAAAATTGTGTACAAAGTGGATAATATTTTAATCTTTCTAAGCACTTATTTCCCAGAATTTGAAGACTAGTGTTCCCAATGGAGTAATAAATATGACTCTTAAATGAGAAAAATGATAAACAAGTAATGAAGGAAGATCAAAACAGACATACATTGATGAAGAAACTTAATTTCCCTACTTTACCCTAAACTTAAATTCATTGCTTATCTTGACTACAAAATTGAGCATATAGATAGATGTTAACTGGGTAGGACAAAATTCTATGCTATTTTTCCCCAAACAAAGCATGTCTACTTTTTCTGATCGAATGTTTCAACCGAGAAAGCATCACTATCTTTGGTTCTGCATATTCAACTTACTTTGCTTAATTGCCTATTATTCAAACTAAAATATAAGCGTCACAAAGCAAGATTTTTAATGTCTGCTTTACTAATTACATAAATATGAATTCTAAAATAATTCCAGCACAAAATTATTGCATCAGTGAATGAATCAATCAGCCAATCCACCAATATATGGATAAAAAGATTTAAAGAAAATCAATTATTTATACAATCTCATAATTTTTATAAAAATGCATGCCTTTTATGAGTAAAAATAATATGAGTTTCTTGACATACATGCAAAACACAGAATGGATGATCCACATTTTCTGGCAGATGCAGATATTATGTGGAAGTTACTATTAATGCCTTATTAAAGTCTGGGCCACAGGTCACACATTCTGCTAATTCTTGCTCTTTATTTAACACACACCCACAGCTCTTGGGAGGTTATACAGCTGTGAAAGTGTATTTCCAGAAGCACGTGGTCTTTTAAGCACTGCTGCCTGTAGCCTGGAGACTCTGGGGCACCACAGGGGTGACCCATGAAATCCCTGGTACTGCAGGGCCTAAATTACACTGCATTTGCAGGTCCCACTTTGAACCATTGACCCTGTTGGGAAAGAATGTTGAAAGGTTTCCTGATAGGAGATGCTTGAGACGTCCCCTCTCAAAATAAAATAAAACATATCCACAGTATATTCATCATTATTGAAAATATTTTCTGCCTAAAATTCAAGTTTTCTTTTCCCCAAATTATATTACTTTATCTTCTAATTGTAAATTTGTAGCCTGACATCCTGGAGTAATTATTTAAGTCATATTTCTATGCCTTCAATTAATCTATTTTATTGGAGTAGTGATTTAAGGGCCTTCTTGCATTTGTAAGAAGAAATTTATTTTTCAAAGTATTTTCTCTATGAAGCCTGAACTTACAAGAAAAGGTAATGAGACGTCTCAGAAGTAAGACCAAATAGAATACTCAATGTTTATGAATGTCATTGAGTTGATCTCATCTCTGGTCCACTACTTTGAACTCCGGCTCTTAATAAGGTGTGAGTCAATGTTGTTGATCAATGTTAGCAATTCTGTAGTATATGACTGACTTGAGCATTGTACAACTTTCAAATCTCTATTTGTATGTTGTCCAAACCCTAATTTTTTTCTCTTACGGATCCTCCCAAGAAGTGTTCATAGGGTGCAGGGACCCCTAGAAATACTTGGCCAAGGAGGCAGGACGATTCAATACTCAGGGTCAGGCTCAGTTGCTCTGAGGACCCCAGCGCTACACCCAGTGGTACCTGTGTATGTGTGTGTGCATTATGTTTGTTTTATGGTGGTGGTGATGAGAGGATATATATGATCCTCTTGACCCCTTGAATTTTGTATTTCAATTTATATTTGCCCTTATTATTAATTTTAACTTATGTTTTAATTTATAATTTTATTATTTGTAAATTTATAACTATAAATGTAAATGTAGATTTATAATTTATAAATTTATAATTTATTTGTAAATTTATTTATTTACAAATTTGTAAATTTATTTGTAAATTTGTACAAATTTGTCATTTTATTTGTAAATTTGTAATTTATGTAAAATGTAAATAAAAATTAATGGAAATTCTTAGAAATTTGGGCATTAATTATCTTGCCTTAAAATGTGCCTGCCATGCATGAGGCCCCCAAATTTGGCCCCCAATACTGCAAGTCCCCAGTAGCTGTAGCCCTGATGGTTCTCCCTTAGCATGGCCAGATCCAAAGAGAATCATTGCTAGCCTGAGGCCTGAACCATCAGTCTGGTACTTCCAAACTCTGAACAGTGAGGAGTAGCCCCTAGGGCCCTGAACACTGCTGGGGTCCCCCCAAATGTTTTGGTAAATCTATAGTGCAGAAAGGAAGTTCTGAGGCTTAGTTCCTGACTTGCTTTCAGTCTTCAAATGAAAAAAGCTACTTTTAACAATAATGGGAGAGGCAATAATGGATATGGATTTATTTTGATTGAAAATGGAATGTTCAGAGAAAAATGTGAGAGAAGGCATATTTAGAAGAAAATGTTCTATTTAAATCCTGCATGTTTTGTACATAATGTTGCTCCAAAAACTGTTTGCAACAGTCAATGAAAAAATAGAGTTTGCATGACAATTTTTAAAATTTTCAGCAATTTAACAGGAGCTGATGAGGTAATTGATGCAGGCAAACATAGATTTTATGATCATATTTAGGTTCTTTCTTAGTTTTTTTTTTAAGAATTAGGAAATAGAGATAAGGTAGTTAAGAAAGATTACATGATATTGCAGAAATAAGACAAAACTCAACATCTCATTTGTCCTATTTTCCAATTTCAACACTTCCATCTCTCATATGTACTTTTTACCAATTTCATGGTTATCAGATGAACACAAAGCAGAAGGCATCAGAAAAATATGAAAGGAAAAATTAAGTTTGCAAGTGAAATTTATCTCTTTAAGATTCAAAATAAACTGGAATTAGAGAAATAGTACAGCACATAGGATATTTCCCCTGTATTTGGCTCTCAACCTAGTTCCATCCTCAGCATTTCATATGGTTTCATGAGTCTCCTGGATAGGTCCCTTAACACAGAGCCAGGAGTAATCTCTGAGCACTTTTGCATGCCCCAAAATTAAAGAAAATGAAGATCAGGGTTTGAAGGATAGTACAGCAGGGAGGCCACTTGCCTTGAACACAACTGACCCACACTTGATGCTCGAAACCACATGTGGTCCCTGAGCCTCACCAGGAGTGATCCCTGAGCACAGGACCAAGTGTTGTTCTCCCTGAACATCACCAGATATGACCCAAAATCAAACAAAGAAGAAGAAAGACTGAAAAAGGCAAAGGAGAAGGAGGAGGTGAAGGTGAAGGCAAAAAGAAGGAGGAGGAGGAGGAGGATGGAGGAGGAGGAGGAAAGAGGAGGAGGAGGAGAAAAGAAAAAAGGTGAAGGAGGAGGCGAAGGTGAAGGTGAAGGCAATGAGAAGGAGGATGAGAAGGAGGAGGAATATGGAGGAGGAGAGGAAGGAGAAGGAGGAGGACGAGAAGATGGAGGAAGGAAGAGGAGAAGGTTGAAAAGATGAGGAGGAGGAGAAGGGGAAGGAGGAGGAGAAGGAGAAAGTGGAGAAAAAGAAAGAAAGAAAGAAAGAAAGAAAGAAAGAAAGAAAGAAAGGAGAAATAGAGAGAAAAAGGGAGAGAAAGAGAAAGAAAGAGAGAAAGAAAGAAAGAGAGAGAAAGAGAGAAAGACAGACAGAAAGAAAGAGAGAGAGAAAGAAAGGAAAGAAAGAGAAAGAGAGAAAGGAAAGAAGGAAGGAAGAAGAAAAGAAAAGAAGAGAAAGGAAGAGAAGAGAAGAGAAAAGAAAAGAAAAGAAAAGAAAAGAAAAGAAAAGAAAAGAAAAGAAAAGAAAAGAAAAGAGAAGACATCAAGGTACTTGACAAGGAACTATCTTACCAGAGCATTCTGGGAGGTGATTTTCAGGAGAGTGGCATTCAAGTCGGCACAGTACTGCTTACCCTCTTCCCAGGTCACGTTGCGCTTGAAGAACCCATAGCATCTGTCTTCATAATATCTCCAGTTTTTCTCACAGGGACTGCATTTATGGCCTTACGAAGGAACCAAACACAGAAACCCCTTCATTCTAAATCAGACTTATGTTTTCCTGTCCAGCCAGTATTTCCTTCAGATCTCAGGGTTCTGTACAGTAACCCTCACCGAACTACTTTAGAGATTGAGAGAAAAGACTACCAAACCATACTTACTCGAAATGCCCTTTGAATCTAATTGATTTATTAAATCTTGGCAGACCTTCTTTGCTAGTTGGTACAGGGTTCTTGAGAGATTTTCATTTTCAGTTTGTAGGTACTTTTGTTGTGTGACAGCTAGAGTCAAAATTGGATAAGAATTCATTATTAGAATCATAAGAATAATGTAAAGGTCTTTTAACAAGCTTTAATTTTACTAGGACTCTTCATGTGCTGACTAGTTAGAGAAATGTGGGTGAGAGAGGGATAGGGATCAGAGTAAAGCAATCATAAAAAAAATTAAGAGCTAAGAAAAACTGAGAACATGGAGTTATGTAGAAAAATAATTGAGCTATTTGAAAGGACAATCATGAATGAAAATATTCCAAGATAAAATAGTGTGTCTTGAGTGGTGGTGACTGTGTTCCCTTGAATAATGTATTCTAAATGAATTTCACAGAGGGGACTGGTTTCTTTTATTATTTTATGTCTCATATAGTTTTACTGCCGTGTTTAAGTAAGAAAAAAGATGGCCAATGAAGGCTTCTAAAATATTTATGAAAAAATGAAGTAACTATATTAGCAAGCAACAATGGCACAGATGAGAGGTTGGAGGCATTTCAGCTTTATTGGAAGAAAAAGTATTTATAAGGGTAAGAGCTATATGAAGTCTCTTCGTGGAAGTTAAATATTAAACAAATTAGTAAAGAACATTTTTAGAAGAGGGAAAACATGAACAAAATTTCTAAAAGGACATATTTGTGATATAAAACAAATTTTATATTGACGGGATTTAAGATATTTAGGATAAGAAAAAATTCAAAAACATGCAGATCTATATGAAGGAAAATCATATAGATCCATTTAAATCTTAGTAAAATAATTTCTAACAAAATTTATTTGTTGTCTCTTTCCCTGTTTCTATTACTTGTCACAGACAATAAACTTTTCTATACGTAAAAAATCTAAGATGTGGGGCTAGAGAGAGTACAGTGGTTAAGACATTTGCCTTGTATGCAGCCAACCTGGGCTCAATCCCTGGCATATTGCATGGTCCCCCAAGAACTATCAATAGTAATTCCTGAGTGTAAAGCTAGGAGTGAGCATTGTTGGGTATGACACCCAGAAAAACAAATTAAAGGGGCTGGAGCAATAGCACAGTGGGTAGGGCATTTGCCTTGCACACGGCCAACCCGGGTTTGATTCTCAGCATCCCATATGATTCTCCAGAGCACCACCAGGAGTAATTCCTGAGTGCAGAGCCAGGAGTAACCCCTGTGCATCACCAGGTGTGACTCAAAAAGCAAAACAACAACAAAACAAATTAAAAAAAAAAAACAACCAAACAAAAAAGTCCCCAAACTAAGATGTGGGGAGATAACTCAAAGGAGTGGAGTATTTGCTTGGCATGTGTGAGGCCCAAGTTTGATTCCTGGTATTGTATTTCCACCAGCATCAGCACCACCAGGAGTGGCACTGGTGGCCCCCACCACTACCAACCCAGGCACTGAACCATCAGTTCAGTGTTTTCTCTTTACTCCAGCATGAAACGCTATAAGCCTTGATGTCAATGTTCCCTGCTACCCGTTTTGTTCTTTATATTCTAAATAAGTCATGCTGAGTCTACATAGATGCTATTCATGCGTTGTAAAGAAAGTCACGTGGAGTACCATGGGGAGTGACTTTGGATCCCTAAGCAAAACTAGGGGGTACCTCTTCTTCCAAAATCTAAAAGGTGAAGAAATGGTCAAAGCTGTGATTACTTGAGAATATCTTGGAAACTTGGTCTAGGCTACTTGAATTAGAGGCAAAAAGTCAAGCAGTGGCCACAAATCTTCAGTGAATACACCAGGGCCCTTAAGTAATGTCTTGCTCTGAGCAAAATCTTCAGCGGTAATTTAATACTTACTCGTTATCCCCAGAGCTACCATCCCAACAACCATCCCCAAGCACAAGAACAGCAAAATCAATGCCATCACACGCCATAACGAAGCAGAAGAAGCAGGGTCCGCTGCAAACATATAACAAAAGTGTTAGGAGCAGGCAGTGGGGGCACGGCCATGGGGTACCCTCAGTCCAGTTACAACCCGCTTGAGATGTTCCAAGTGACATAAATAGTTTCACCAGCAAAACTTGACTGTGTTGCCTTGGAGTTCACCCACAGTCAATACAATCTATCTCTATGCCACAATCCTACCCCATTCCCAGCAGACTTTTCTCTAATTGAGACTGTAATCTGTGTTAAGGTTTGGAGTATTTTTCACTGTTTCATTTTGTGACCTCTCTCCATCGATAAGTGCTTTCATCAGCCATAGCTGAAGAATCCCACCTGTAGACACTGTAAAAAGAAGATTCCAAACATTCTCTCGAACCCTTACCATCTTAGTTTTCTCTTTACTACAGGATGAAACTATAAGCCTTAATGTCAGTGTTTCCTGCTGCCCCTTTTGTTCTTTATATTCTAAATAAATCATGCTGAATCTACATATATGATACTCAAGTACAGTAAAGAAAGTTAAATAAAACTACACTCCAGGGCCAGAGCGATAATACAGCGGGTAGAGCACTTGCCTTGCACGAGGCCAACCCTATCAAATCCCCAGTACCCCCAGAAGGTCCCCTATATCTCCCAGGAGTGATCCTAAGCAATGTTGGGTGTACCCCCAAAACAAAAGCAAACAAAAATTTAGATGCCATATATTGTCATAAGCAGGAATATAAAGAAAGAGAAGAAGCTAGGATTGAGTCACTGACTTTTGAATTATTGGCTCTGGGCATTCTTACCTGAAGCCAGAGGTGGGTTTCGATTTTTTTTAATGTTCAAGGTGATGTATCCGTCTTCATCCTGCATGGCGTTTCTTTTCTGGAAGCGTCCTCACAGAATGACTTAGCTAAATGAATCTTCCTCCCTTAACAGCCTGAAGCCTGCCAGTCCGTGCTTTCCTCTCTCTGGGGAGGTGGAGTTATATGAGTGGGAGTATAATTTTTTGTTGTTGTTTTGACTGTTTTATTTTTTTCTTTAAGAAAAAATTTCCTAGTTGTTCATGTCAAAGCAGGCACTGGGGGCAAAGGCGTATTTAGTGTCATCACACAGGATCTCACAGAACTCTCCAGAATGCTGACCCAGAGAGGGAAATTGTCCCAGGTCCAAGGTTGAAAATAACAAAACACAGAATCCTCCCAGAGAGAGTTTCCTGAGGGGCGGAGAGTTCTGGGTCTCTTATCCTGAGGAGATAAGACCACCTGGAGCCAGGACTTTCCCGCCCTCCCTGAGCCAATGGTGCTGAGGAAAAATGTTGGGAATGTTAGCTACTGAGAACAAAGGGAAATGGAAAGATAAAAACCCCCCCACACATACACTCACACACTTCTCTGGTCAGCCTGTTAGGCTCATCTTCCAAGATCCTGTTTTTTCTCCTACTTTCTTTTTCTTCATAAAATTTACCCCTCTCCTGCCTTTGGTCTCCTCATGGAAACTAGGGAGCACAGCACTATCACTTCTTCCCTCATAGCATTATTTGGGGCCATGATTTCCCATGATTTCTCAGATCTCACCACTGGACTCACAGGTAAAAATGTTATGAATTCTGTCTCTGGCTTCTCTGCTTGCAGATGACTCTTCTCTAGCTCACCTCGTACTTTTCTCCTCAACTGGTGAGCACCTCCTCAATCTCTTGACCTATTTGGCTTGGAGGCTTCCTGAGACCCCCTAATTCATCTTTCCTTGTTTGTTCCTCCTCACTTTCCTTCAAAATACCTGACGTGACGTGTCTTCTGATGCTCACCTGGTTGTCCTTCTCCTCATTCACATCTGTTTCTGCCATCCTTTGTGGACAAGTCATTCACAGCTTTCTATCCTTCCCTTTTCATTCTCCCTTGAGTGTGAGTTTCTGTTTCCCATCTGGTTCCTCTTTGGATTCTGCTCTCACTGAGATGAGCTTCCTCTCTCTACCTCTCCACAATTCATGAACCCATGATTCTCCACCTTGTTGAGTGGTGGTGTTATGAATTTCTCTTCACCTGCCTCCTGCAGGGTGGATTTTGGGATGCTCTAGGGTCCTACATCCTAGCCCAGGCCCTCTCCTAGCAGGATATCAGGGTTACTGCAGAAGATAGAGACTCTCTCTTGAATACCTAGCTTCAATACTTCCTCGGTAGAGTGAGAATAAATATTGAAGACAGGGACTTTTTAGGCTATAGAAGTCCCCTTGTGGATGGTTCAGGTTGTGTAATAAGGAAATATCCCTCAATACTAAAAGATTGTGTCCAGACAAGCAGTTAGGGAGCTCCCATAATGCAGATTAGCAAAAGTCATTGTCTCCAAGCCAAACCAGACTAAAAGTAGGAAAGTCTCTGAAATGCAGGCTTCAGAAAGTCATTGAAACAAGGAAAAGCAAGGCCTTGAGCATCAGCCACATACCCTGCAGGAGAGGTTCTTATGCAGACACAAAAACTATGGTAAGACCATCCCAAAAGACCATTTTTCATTCCAAGTTCTCCCCCCTAGAAACACACTAGCAATAGATTTAAGGGGCAGTTTGCAAAAACCTAAATGCTAACTGCAAAGACAAGGACATTAGTTTCCCTATCCTGGCAGACACCAAGGTCTTGGCCTGAGATGTGTAATTCTTGTGTTTTGCTTTATGGTGCATGATTCCTATTAGGAACATACCTGCTCCTGAACCTGGAGTGTGTCCTTGACTCTCCATGCTAGAGAAACCCCATATTTGGCTGAACACATGACTCTCTTTCCTATCCTATTTCCCAAATAAACTTGTGTTATTTCACTGCTCTTCTCCTTTCTGAAATTCTTTTCTGTGAGGGTAAGTGATAGAGCAGAAAAATATGGACAGAAGCTAGGACTTAGTTTTATTTTCCTATAAAGAGCAAAATCTCATGTACAACCTGGGTATCACGGATACCTCGGACATAAGGTGGAATGGATTAATTTATGTGTCATGAAGATCAAATAGGACTTGAAAGTTTGGTGACTATCTGGAAGTACTGATCAGACACAAGCATCTACACTTCAAAGTTTGCTCACATCAGCCTTCATTCAGTGTGATCAAGGTAGATAAAAATGATGGCAGAGGACACCCTTCTCAGGATTGCTACTTCTCATCTCCCACTTCACATAAGCCACCTGCAACAGGTGACATCTGAACCCACAAGATGATATCTCTCAGGCCAGATACCTTCATTCTATTGTCCCTGGTTCTCTCTTACAGATGGTAAATTAAACTTCAATCCCCACTGAGAAACCCTTGGGTTGCATCCTCAATACCTGGAATAAATTTGGTCTCTAGGCCCTAAAGAAGTACAAGCTAATATTCCTTTGCATCATAGTCTAGCTTGATTTTTAGTTAGGAGATGGATAAATATGGTCCAAGGATTATAGAGTAAACTTTAAAATACTGTTTGATTGACTTATTTTGCAGAAGGAAAGAGAACTAGAGATTTCTTCTCCCAGAATTTCATGATGCTTCAGGGAAAGCAGAACTGTGCAACCTTTGCAGAATGGATCATGAAGTTCTAGTCCTGCTCATTTCTCCCTTCTCCTAGGAAACTTGTGTTGGACTGGCTTCAAAGCTGGGCTGTTTTTTGTATTTCAACCTGGGGATGAACTACAACTAACTCACACATCCCTCACTCAGCGAGAGGCAATCAACAGCTCCAGAGCTCTTTGGCTCCTGTCCTCAATCCCTTACTCACCTATCTGGAACCTCCAAACCTTCCCTAGTCTCCAGTTATAGGAAGTGGGTGGAGGAGAAGCAGGTAAGCCCACTAGGGCAAGGTGCCTTTTTTCCTGGAGGGGCCAAAGTTTGATTGAACAAGATTGGGGAAAGTTCACAGAGGACCCTTGAGAAATATATTTCAGGGTTCATGAAGGTGAGCCTCCCTTTTGATTTTTCCTGAAAGGATATTAGATTAATCATTTATCTAGACCTTAAGCAAGGTGTAAAAAGAATACCATAGGAGATATAGCTGCTCATTTGGGGAATGAATCAGTCACGGTCCCGGTCCTCCCATTGTTCATCGATTTCCTAGAGCAGACCCAGTAACATCTCCATCCTGAGATGCATGAATAATGTTTTCTGTCCTGTTGGAATTGTGACTAAACTACCATCCGATATCTATGGGACTATATTTCAGTGGAGGGAATTTGGAGCAACAATTCTATGATTTTTTTAAAAAATTGGATACATTGAACAATGTAAGAAGAATCCAGTAAATTACAACAAAATGAAGAAAACATATCAGCCTTTTGTGAAAGATCAAAGGCAGCCCTTCTTCAATACACACTTTTAGACCCTATTTCTATCTAATAGAGTTAGAATTCTTAAAAGGTTCTTTACCCAGAAAGCCCCAGAGAACGTTACAAACATTGCTCTTGGGACTTCAGATTCCCTTGCTGAGCTCCTTTAGGTGGTGTCTAGTCTTCTATATAGGAGTTCACGATGAGGAAGAATAAGGTAAAGAGAAGAGAGATGGGAGGAGAGTGGGAGGTTCCTGTCCAGCAGCTTTTCAGGTCCAACAGCCAACTCCTAGTTTCTTTGCACCAAAGACCCTGAGGAACCTGTCTTCAATGTGGAAACTCAAGGCATTTGGGGATGAGCATATCCCTATGCACAGCCTCCCCTTGTACCACAGATGATAAGATGGAAATGAGATTGTACCAGGTTCTAAAGGATCCCTGGCCAAGTCCTATCCCACTGATAGACCTGAAGTGACAGGGCCCTTCACTCCAATCAATTCCTGAAACACATCTGAACATTAACAGGTTGAAACCCAGCACAGTGCAAACCATGGCATGAAAGATAGTAAAAATTTTAGTAGCTGCAGGAGCTACTACCTATAATAATCTCCTCTGGATTCTGCTCTTCCAATGTATGGTGTTAGGAGGTAAGAGGGAATAGGTCGGGGGAGGTCATACACCTTCTCTTAGCTCTTTGTAGGATGGGACACTGCATCAATTTTTATTCATCCCTGAAGTCCCAATCCCCTCCTGCCATGGGACCTCGTCAGAAGAGGGAACCAAAATTCTTTCAGTTCAGACCCAAATAACATGGATATTTATTAAATCTAATTAAACTCAGAGTGATGAAGAGGACAGAAGAATCGGGAGCTGAGGCTTCATTGACTGAGGAAAATTAGGTTCTAGGATGGGTTATTATACTACCCATATAAAATTACAACTTAAGAACCCCATCCACCACCCATACAGAAAACAACATCCCTTTACACCTTTGTTTTGTTTGCAACATATCAAGTTGTGCTCAGGGATTATTAGGGAACACTCCTGGAGGTGTTCGGGTGACCAGAGGAAAAAGCAGGGGTCAAACTCAAGTAGGCGACCTGCAAGCAAGGGTCTTTAGTAGCTCTACTTTCTCTTCTGCCCGTACTCTTTAAAGCCTGAAGCAAGAACAATAGGCCCTCGTTAGCAAATTCTTAATAAAAGATTGCTAATACTCAAAAAAGATTGCTAATACCTCAATTTTGCAGTGAAAAAGCAAATGGCATTTGGTTTGGGATCTGAGTGCAGTTGAAGGAACTGCATTTTCCGGGGTCCATGGACTCAGAGTGGAGTGAGGAATTCCTCTTTGCAGGAAGGGAAAGTCAGTTCTAATCTTACCCAGGTTTTTTGCATCTGTTGCCTTTCACTTGCATAGAAAAAAAAAAACTTCACGAAAAGACAAACTGTGAAGTTTAAGGAGTTTATTGGGAAGTAAAGGGCTGGAAGGGGAGGAAGTTAAAAAGGTGCTCAAGAGAGAACACAGCTTTCTCCAGACTGAAGAGAGCCAGTACACAATCTAATGTCGAAGTGTGAAAGTTAGAAAGTCCACACCTCTAGAGGAGAGATGCTGGTAACAAGGGCAAAATGGACGTTGGCAATGTGTGTACTCAGGCAACACATGTGAGCACGCCCTTTGTCCAAGTTGTTTTCTACGCATTTTCCCCAAACTGTTGTTGCTAGAGTGTTTGCTAAGGGGAAGTGCTGGGTGAAGTTGAAGGTCTTCTTTTGATAATTCTTTTCCTGGCCTTTGTTTCAGCAGTGCAGCC